CATATTTCTATTGTAAAAGAAGATTAAAATGAACCATTTAAAAAGCAACATTTATTAGAAGCACCTATGTTTTTTTTCTCAGATGTTTGCATCTGTTCCATAGCTCTTGTGCAGAACACAAAATTACATTTGTATAGTGGCTTTTACATTGGGGGGACGTCCCAAGGTGCTGGACAGTATACACTGAAAATCTTTCATATCCCCGTTTCCTTCAATGCTAATAGAGTAATTTTGTCTGGATGTTTGTGCCACAAGGTGTCAGCCTGACTTAGATGGGAGTATTCACTTGAGTCAGCAGGTTGTGCTGGAGTGCCATACTTCATATTAGATATTAAACCAACGTCAGGTAGATTTTAAAGTCCCATGAGCACCATTTGAAATGGCAAAGGAGATTCTCCCACTGTCCTGGGCAGCAATCCCCAGATTAAAAAAAAGTCACTTGCTTCATGGCTGTTTGTGGGACATGGGTTTGCAAATTGGCTCTTGTGTTCGCCTACAGTCATTATACAACAATAAATTATACAAAGCACTTTTCATTATTATTTTTTTGAGTGTTATTCACAAGTCTCATGGACATTCACAACAATGGAAAAGTATACAAGTTGGGACGTTAATGCTTCAGGTGTCATTGTGTTTTCTGTAAGTCATACAAAACCTTTGACTCTTGCTGGATGGTTTGCCAATGACCAGCTATTGAGTTTTACAAGTAGGAAGGTATTTTGGTCTAATTATCAATGTTTGCAAAAGGAAAGGAAAAGCATTAATTGTATATTCTAAAGAGAAGTTCCTTGTATATTTTCTGTCGAATCCATTATTTACGTTTCCCTGTAAAATACACAGTCATTACACTTCACTGTATTCTGTGTGGTTTGAGAAGTCCTCAAAACACGAAGGGCACTATTTCAAATGCAAGACTTATGATTTAAATGGTTGTTTTAAATACTCTTTCAATGGGTTCTATTGCAGCTCTTCTACTCGTAGAGTGTGAAAAATAAAGCCAATCAATTCTGGGAATATGTGTGTCATTCTAGCATTGATTTTCATGTGTTTAGTTTCTTAGTCTGATCAGGAACCATTTTGGTCACCCTCATGAGTTTTCACTGCATAATGAGCAATTAGCATCAACACAATTTTAGCTTTTCCATTTAACACTTGGCTTTTTGTGCACATGACTTCATTCACCTGACGACATGCAGCTCTCTTGAAGTTCATTGGAACCTATCCTGATTCAAACCTGTGTGCAGTGCATGCTGACATAAAAATTCAATGTCAGCAAGATTTGTGGGTGTGTATAAGGCATTGAAAACTAGAAATGATGCCCGTGACTCCAGTGTAACAGGGATAACCTGTTCAGGTGCTTGTAATTCAGAGCACATAATACAATGCCTCTACAACGTGGCACAGTACTTTGTGGAGAATGTAGAAAATTAATTATTTTGTGACTGGCGTGAGAACAATGCTTGTTTTTGCAAAGCAGTTAGTGTTTCACATTTCATTAGGCTTGTGTTACCATCAAATCATTGTCTGTTTGAAAGTAAGTCAAGCAGTAATAATAAAATTATAATAATAATCTCTACATTTGGAACAGCTCCTTTCACTTCAGGAGACTGCCGCAAAGAGCTTCACAGGATATACTGTAAAGTGCAGTGACTGTGATTCGTGGGCAAATCCGGCAGTCAATTTGTGCACAACAATGTCTCCCAAATGGTCATGAAATGAATGACCGATTTTATTTGGGAAATTGTTGGCCACGACACTGGGAGAAACCTCCTCTTCTTTTTAAATAGTGGCGAGGGATCTTTTAGTACAAGCTATGCACATAAATCATAACTAACCAATTCTCATAGATTTAGTTTTTTCATTGCTGTTAAAATGTACATTGTATTACACATTGTGTAGATTGTACATGCAGTGGTTGTTACTGTAAAGGCATTAGCGGAATCATTGCCCGAGTATTGCACTCAAAATAGCCAACAGATAATATACTAAGATCTTCCAAATATTTCTTGGCTATCAATCAATGTGATTTGTAGATTTATTTAGTTTAACTGCACTCAATGCAAAAACAGTGTTTGGCCCACAAATACACAGTTGTTTTCCCACAAATATGCAGTCAATTCTCTTTACAGTATATTCTGTGAAGCGTTTTGAAATGTCTCGAAGACGTGAAAAGCACTATATCAAATGCAAGGATTATTATTATTAGTTGGTGGACTTTTCTCATCTCAAAACATTCAGGGAAGTCTCCTAAAGGATGAAATGTGGATAGATGCATTTGTATGGCAAAATGACTCCTAATAGCATCAGAAATAGGTAGCTGAGGGAGGGGGAATAAATTGCCATGAGCTGATATGGGGAGGGAGGAAGTATAGGGACGAATGTAACTTTCCTGGTGCTGAAGGTGTGGTGGAGGGAGGGAAATATTTGTATGGGAATATTATATTGTATGACAAAATAATCCTTGTATTTGATAGATCATTTTAACATGTCGAGTCATCTCAAAGTACTTTATAGGATTTTACAGTGAAGTGTAGTTACTGTTTATAGGCAAATGTGGCAGTCAGTTTGAGCATATAATTATCCCACAAACAGCTATAAGTGAATGATCCGTTTTATTTGGTAAACAGCCTTTTGACTCCGAGATGAATGTACTGTGGACTGAGCCAGGTTAACACCTGCTTAGCTGACACAGAAAACTAGAGGGAAAAGTATATTCAGAGCAGCTTTTCAACAGGTTTTCCTGACATCCTGGGACAGAAAGCTGGAGGGAAGGTTGTAAATAAAGAACAGTTTTCTGGAGAACTGAACAGGGAGACACCATTCTCTAGAATATAGAAGAATTAGAGGTGAACTTATAGACCTATACGATTCTTAAGGGTCTTGACAGGGTAGATGCTGTGAGACTGTTTCCCCTGGTTGGAGAATCTAAAACTAGGGGTCATAGTCTCAAGATTAAGGGTCAGCTTTTTCGAGGGAGTTGAAACATTTCTTCCCTCAGAGGGTAGTGAATTTGTGGAATTCTCTACCCCAGAAGGCAGTGGATGCTCAGTCCTTGAACAAATTCAAGACTGAGGTTGATAGATTTCTAAAGGATAGAGGGATTAAGGGATATGGGGATAGGGCAGGTAAATGGAATTAGGTTAGAAGATCAGCCATGATCTTATTAAATGTTGGGGCAGGCTCGAGGGGCCGAATAGCCTACTCCTGCTTCTACATCTTATGGTCTTATGGGATGTTTACTTTTCATTCTTGTGTTTCTTCGGAATTCATCGGACTACTAAATTTTTCACCATTTCAAGGAATTCTCATTGTTAAACTATTTTTTAACAATTCTATTCTGTTAAACTACATAAATGGTCAATTTCTCGGTTGTAATGTCACCATGGACAGGAAATGATACTAGAGACACCTCCTGCGATTGTGCACCAAACATGAAGTGACATCTGTTTGATCGAACAACCCAGAAGTTGATTATTGTAGTTGAAAAGATCAATAAATGTTAAAAAAACAAGAAAGTAAAATGTCAATATTGTGTGTTAATTTTTATTGCAAAATCAAAACCTAGCAACTTTTATAATATGAGAAACTTGCTGGCAATATTTCCTGAATATGAGCTCACAAATGATTTCGGACACTTCGATTGAATAACTTCTTTATAATTTACTAGATGTATCCATTATCATCCTGTGAGAAATTTCCTTCTGAATGGAGGGCTGGATTCAGATCCTACCTCTCACACCATCTCCACTTCATCTCCACAAACGGTTTCTCCTCTAGCCTCCACACCATCTCATGTGGCGTTCCTCAGGGCTCTGACCTTGGTCCCCTCCTCTTCAATATCTATATTCTCCCTCTTGGTCAACTTCCACATGTATGTGGATTACACCCAATTCTACTCTGCTTCCACCCTTGATTCCAGGACCACTGCTGTCCTGACATCAAGCTCTGAATGAGAGCTAACTTTCTACAGTTGAAAGTCAACAAGACCGAGGCTCTCCTGATTGGTTCCCTCCAAACCTCAAGCGCTGACACCATCACCATCCAAGGATGCACACTCCACCTCACTGAACCAGTCCAGAACCTTGGCTTCTGGTTTGACCCTCAACTATCCTTTCTACCCCACATCCGTACCATGACCCGCTCTGCTTTCCCCCAACTTTGCAACATCACCCGGCTCCGTTACTGTCTCACACCGCAGCCCGCCGAGACCCTCATATGCATTCATAAAACCACGGCTTGACTATGCAAACTCCCTGCTTGTCGGCTTCCCAACTCCTCCCTCCATAGGCTGCAGATCATCCAGAACTCTGCAGCCTGTGTCCTCTCCCGCACCAGGCTCCGCGACCCTATCACTCGCAACCTTGCCCGACTCCACAAGCTTCCCACCACACAGGATACAGTTCAAGATTGTGGTCCTCACCTTCAAAGCTTCCAGCTACCTCTGCGACCTCCTAACTGCGACCCCCCTACCAACCTGCCCGCTCCCTCGCTCAGCAGGCTCCGGCCTACTTCACGTTCCCCGCCTCGCCTACCCCACCACTGGTGGTCGTGCCTTTAGCCACTCTGCCCCTACACTCTGGAACTCCACCCCGGGTCCCTCTGCCTTGCTCCCTCCCTTGCCTCCTTCAAGAGCTGTCTCAAGACCCTCCTCTTTGACTGTGCCTTTGGTCACCCTCCTTCCCCACTGCCCTCCATCCTACCCGATTCCGACCCTCAGCTTAGGTCCGAAACACTGATTGTCCAGCACTTAGGGAAGTCCTCCCAACGTGAAAGATGCTATACAAATGTAATTTTGGTGGTGGTGGTGTGAGATTATTTGATAAGGAATACAAGTGTAATCTGCTGCATTTCCCACATTCCACACAAAGTCTTATGGGTCAATATGATATCATACTGAGCCCTAAAATTCAATTGTTAAGAATAGAAAATAGAAAATGTCTTTTTTTTAAAAAAAGTGGGATGTTATTAGCAATTAACTTTGCTTTATCTTGGCTCTGTAGGCTCAGCTTTTGGATCTAAAGTCGGAGTTGATCGACACTCAGGCTGAAAGAGTTGTGCTGGAGAAGGAAGTCCACGATCAACTTCTCCAGCTTCACGCCGTCCAGCTCCAACTGCACGCCAAGACTGGGCAGAATGTCGACTCTACTGCAATCAAGGCTAAGCTGGTATGTCCTAGGCAGGAATTTAAATGTATAAGCTAACATTTTTTCCTCTGTGGTAGAACAATTGACTGCAGGTTACTGCAACATTTTTTTTACACATTACAAAACTTATTTTAAGGTATATTTTCACATTTTTATGTAAGAGCCAATTCTCTTAGTACAGTTTGATTTTTGGGTTGTAAAATTCCAAATGTTATAAACCCAGAAATCTTTTATTCTCCCATTCTCACCTCCTAAGGCAATGAGTGCTACAGGAGTTTGACAACATGAGATATGGCTCAGGCCTCTGATGTTGCAATAGGAGGGTGGGCTGAGGCATTCTCCATTGAGTGTCAGCTGGGTTTTACGATGGACAGGAATGAGTGGGAAAGAAGCCTTTCTAAATCTGTTCCTGTGCACCTCTGACTGGTGTGAGCATTTTCAAATAAGGACTCTTTATTCGCAATAATATCTTTGGGGAATCTTGGGAGACTTTGTTCTTCCACTCCATTTGTATGGTCAGACTGCCCTCTTGAATCTGATATTAAAATTTAGCAGAGTGTTCCATAGAAATATGTTTTTAGTGCTTGGGCTTCTTTAAATTCTCCATTAGATCACTTCAGTTTGAGATCCGTGGAGAAACCGTTTGTAGAGATGAAGTGGAGATGGTGTGAGAGGTAGGATCTGAATCCAGCCCTCCGTTCAGAAGGAAATTACTCACAGGATGATAATGGATACATCCAGTAAATTATAAAGAATTTATTAAATCGAAGTGTCTGAAATCATTTGTGAGCTCATATTCAGGAAATATTGCCAGCATGCATATCAAATGACTGGTAACTAAGCAAAGTTTTTCAAGTATATATGAACAGCTTTGGTATGAATCACTTTCAAAGTTTGCTCCATTACACATTGTTCCTTAAAAATAGTTTTGATAAGCTGATAATGTACAACATTTTTAAATGTAACATTTTTTGTTATTGAACTATCTACACTGTAAAATGATGCACTTAATATTGGGAAATACTGTATTAATTTTGAACTTTTTCTTTCTGTGTTGAAAATAATTTGCTGACAACCTTTTCTGTTCTTTCAAATGATACGTTAGCTATTTTTTTACGTTTTAAACTTCTGCTCACTTCCTGACTGCTGAACACTGTTTTTCTCTCTCTTGTCCCAAGTCTGTTCTTTCATTGGAGGATATGGTAAGTGAGTATATTGGTGTGTGTTATTTGACAACTGTTACTAACTGCTGTTTCAGAGCTACACTTTTCCACTGATTATACACTGTACATTCAGAACAAGTTAAAGTGGAATTTTTTTAATGTTGTGCTGTGAAATACTAAGATGACTTTTAACTAAAGTCTAAAAAGCTAAAGGCTATACTTCCACAAGACTAAATATAATTGATGGCATGAGATGCATTATAAACAAATATTTTTAAACAATTTACTGGACTCTAGTCTAGTGCCTGATGTTACTGAACTGCACACTTAACCTATTCCTGAGGTTACTCCACATTTTCTTGTTATGACGGTTAATTTTTTTTTGATATTTGTGACTTGTGTATCTCTTACCACATTAATTACTCATTACAATTGGTAAATGTCAGGATATTTAACTACCACAATGCCACGTTTTAATGTGCTGTGCTTCTGTTTTGTTTTCTGCGAAGGAAAAAGAGTTGGAGGCCAATAAAAAAGAAAAAGTGAAGGAAGCAAAGCTAGAAGCTGAGGTGAAGCTGCTAAAGAGGGAAAATGAGGCCCTGCGTCGACATATAGCAGTTTTACAGGCAGAGGTATATGGAGCAAGGCTCGCTGCGAAGTACCTGGATAAAGAGCTGGCAGGCAGGTGAGGGGACACTCACTTTTTATTACATGTCTCTTCACTAGAAATGGGATGGAAAATGCTACATACGTGTGTTATGTTGGCTTGTCAAACTGATTAAACCTTTTATTTCTGTACGCGCTATGACAATCGGTTCTAGCATTAATATTTTATATTTATTAAAATGAGGAACAGAAGGGGTCGAGGATGCAGCCTTGTAATAACCTGCAGGTGACTGGGCGGGGGCGGAAGGAAAACCCATCTGCTGAGATGTATTGTTGGCGGTTTGTTAAGTAGGACTCGAACCAAACTAGTGCGGTCCCACTAAGGTGGATGAGGGAGGAGAGGCGGTGGAGGAGGTTGGCGTGATCGAATGTGTTGAACGCGGAAGGGAGCTCCAGAGGGATGAGGAGGCAGTGGGAGCCCTGGTAACAGAGAGAGAGGACACCATTTATTACTTTGACGAGCTCTGTCTCCTTACTGTGGGCAGGTCAAAAACTGGACTGGAGGGGTTCAATTAGGGAGTGGAGGGAGAGTGTGAGTGAAGTTGATTTGCGTTCCAAAATTTTGGCCAGGAAGAGCAGGTTTGAGATGGGTCCGACTTTGTGAGGTTGGAGGGATCGAGGGTAGGTTTTTCAAGAAGACTGATGACATCAGTTTTTGAGCGGGAGTGGGACGGAGCCTGAGGAGCGGGACTGCTTGATTGTGTCAGTCAGCAGTGGGCAGAGGAGGGGAAGTTGAGTGACCAGAAGCTGGGTGGGGAGGGTGTCGAGGCAGCAGGCGGTGGGCTTCAAATGGGTGATTTGACTCCACGACCACCGATGTCCTAACAGCTGCCTGTCTGACATCGAGGCCTGGACGAGAGACAACTTTCTTCAGCTCAACGTGCGCAAAACTGAGGCCCTCCTGATTGGCTCACGTCAGCGCCTCCGCACCTCAGGCACTGACAGCATCAGCATCCAAGGCTGCACTCCACCTCTCAAAGCCACCCAGGAACCTCGGGGTTCTGTTCGACCCTGAGCTGTCCTTTCTTTCTCATATCCGCGCCACAACTCGCACTGCCTTCCACCACCTCTGGAATATCGCCAGACTATGGCACTACCTCACCCTTCACGCTGCTGAAACACTGGTCCACGCCTTTATCACCTCAAGGCTGGACTATGGGAACTCTCTCCTTCCCGGCACCTCCCTCCACAAGCTGCAGGTCATTCAGAACTCTGCAGCTCGTGTACTGTGACGCACCAGGCTTCGGGACCACATCACTCCCACCCTCGCTCGCCTCCACTGGCTCCCCATCCCCCAGAGGATCGAATTCAAGATCCTCATCCTCACCTACAAGGTCATTCACGGCCTTGCTCTCTCCTACCTCTCCGACCTACTATCCCCCTACCTACCCGCCCGTACCCTCCGTTCCTCTGGCTCCGGTCTGCTCCACATCCCCCGCCCCAACCGCCCTACCATCGGTGGCCGGGCCTTCAGCCTCTCAGCCCCTAGGCTCTGGAACTCTATCCCCCAGTGCCTTCGCCGCCTCCTCCCTTTCCTCCTTCAAGGCCGGTCTCAAAACCTTTCTCTTTGACTGTGCCTTCAGCTCCCCTCTCGACTCTCTACCCCCTCCTCGCTCCCTCCCTTCCCTCCCCTCACCCTGACCATTTCCCCCCTGCTCGAATTCCCGACCCAACTGTCCAGCGCCTTGGGACGTCCTCCCGACGTGAAAGGCGCTCTATAAATGAAATCTTGTTGTTGTGTTGTTGTTGTTGTTGATGGTGGGGGAAAGGGAGGACGGAGAGATGGAGGCAAAGGAGCATAGGGTGGGCCGTGGTAGGAGCCATGGTAGGAGGAGAGGGTGGTGAAAGAGGCATGGGAGTGGTGGTAGGTGATGTGGGGGGAAGAAGGATGTGGTGAGTAGTGGAGAACAGGATTTTGGGGTTATTTTGGGTTGTATTTGAAGAAGAACAAAGAGTTCTCGAATATTTTAGCCAATGTTTCCCTCATCCAAAATCGCCCCAAGAAGTATTAATTGGGCATTCATCAATTTGCTGTTGTGGGATGTCATGCTTGCCTGCTTAATAGCAGACACACCAATACTGAAGTAACTTATTGTGTAAAGGGCTTTGAGAAATTTCAGTGTGATAATTTGCTATTATAAATTGTATTTTTTTATTAGTTAACAGAAATGATTAAACTTTCTAATTGTTTACATAGGGTTCAACAGATTCAACTTCTGGGTCGAGATATGAAAGGACCCGCTCACGATAAACTTTGGAATCAATTGGAAGCAGAAATCCATCTTCATAGACATAAAACTGTCATTAGAGCATGCCGGGGTCGCAACGATCCCAAACGTCCACTGCCTGCACCTCCTGGACACGTATGTAGCGTTTTAGTCTTTGGAAATCTTGATTTTATTAAATCAATCTCGTTTTGTTCTTTTTCAATTGGGAAACAGTTTCCAAATGTTCTAAGTAGCAGTCATGTCCAGTGACGACAGGTCCAGTAAAGGAATCAAAGTTTGCAAATAAAGAAGTTCTTTAGCCCTCCACATAGTCTATAGTTTACTGCTTGTTCCTTATATCAATAGAATTTGGGCATTTCTGATCTCTGCCCAACCATTCGATTGGCTAAATGGCCTCTTCTGTGTTGCAAATTTCTATAATACTATGGATCCATTACTTCTGAGATCTGCTGTATATTCTACTAATACTGTGACAACCTTTAATGCATCAATACTGCTGTGTTGGCCCAGGGTTATGTTTGATGGCATTTTCACATTTGGCAGTTCGCTGCTGAATATCCACTACTTGTGTCACCTGATAACTTCTTGGAATGTTACATTTTCAGAATAAAACATTTGTAAAAATACAGTCTATCAAACTGACCCAAACCAGCAACCTCTAATCCTCATTTTCAGAAAAGTTCTGTTAAGTCAAGGTACACATTTCAAATTCTTCATAGACTATTCTGCTGCACTCGCGGCTGTCATTGCACTTGGAATGTCAGGCTGTAACATGACAGTGGCAGCTGCAGCTTTGGGTTGCATATTTCTCTGTAAGCCACTCTTATAAGCCACCCATAGTTTAGCAGCTGTAGAACCTGCTTGTTGTCTTAAGATTGTTGCTTAAAATGTCCAATCATTTATTGATTATTATAACACCAACTTGCATTTATATAGCATCCTTTATGCGGGGTAGGGTCTCGGAGAGATTCTGATATAAAAGATCCTTCAACCCAATTAAATAAAAATTCCTGACTTAACACCATGTTTCTACAGTTCCTAGTATTAAACAGTACTGGCTTTGTTAAGTGTTGGATCTACTCATAAATGTACTACTGTGGTGGACTGAGTAGCCTCTTTGTAATTTGGAAGAGTTGTAAGGTTGAGTAATTAAAATATTATATAATAGCAAAATAACCTAGTCTTCCTTTATGAAATGTTACCCATGCTTATTTTTGTAGATGCTCCATTAAAATAATTCATCTTGAATTTGCAGTATAATTGCAAATAAGACTCATTTCCGTTTGAATTTTGTTGGTGAATTCTAAAGGCTAAACATTGTGCAATTGTAATCTGAAAAAAATTACATACATTTAACTTCTAATTTGTACGTTTGTTTCATACAGTAGAAGACTAGAAAAACATTGTGTATAATACAGAGTATTTAACATAATGTTTGCCAACAAATCCACCCCGCATATAGTTCTAATTTGTTATTTTCTTCTTCCTGAAATAGGATCCAGATACCATAAAGAAGACCCAGGGTGTTGGGCCAATTCGAAAAGTCCTCTTAGTCAAAGAGGATCATGAAGGCCTTGGTATATCGATTACAGTAAGTTGTCTAAGCATTAATTCATTGATGTCTGTAACACAACAAAAACAAATTCTGGGCATAATGGATAAATCCTTGAATGCCAATTGAGCAGAGATTTTGTTGGCTCTTATTGTGGAAGTTGCACATTTGCAATTCAGATTATTATTATTGTTTGGTCAGCCGGTGTCTGACCCATGTGGAAACCCATCACCCTGCTTAAGAGTATCCAAATCAAACTGAGATTTCCATGTATCCCACCTTCACATGGAAATCCCAGAGATAGATTGTTGGAATGGAATACGCACTCTCTCCCTGGAGGGACACATTCAAGACATTGCTCTGTGGTGGTGTTGGTGGTGCAGTTACTGAGTGAGGTGGGTCCACAGTGTTTCAGGACTTGGAGAGGCAGATCAGTTACTGAGGGGAGGGATTCTTCCAACTCAGCTCCTGAAACCAAAGCCTTATCAGGGAGGCTGGCCCTAGCTGGACAAGCAGTAGGAAAGCCTGTCAGACAGTGCTCTCAATGGGAAGCCATGCAGTTTTAGCAGTTTAAACTTCAGCAGTTACCCAATGCACACTTTGTATCCCCAAGCCTTGGCTCTTGCCATCCTGTGCCTAATACTCTCTGGAATTATGTAAGCAGGATGTGTTTCTCTAGGAAGAGAGTGCACATTCCAAACCACTACATGGAAATTTCCATGTGTAGGTGGGATGCATGAGTCCTGGTCCTCACCTTAATGGCTTCGCTCCCCCATACCTCTGTGACCTTTTAACCCCCTACCAACCTGCCCACTCCCTCTGCTTAGTGGGCTCCGATCTGCTTCATGTCCCCTGCCTCGCCCACCCCACCATCGGTGGGCGGGCCTTCAGCCACTCTGCCCAGACCCTCCGGAACTCTATCCTGCAGTCCCTCCACTTCGCCCCTTCCCTTGCCTCCTTCAAGCCGAGTCTCAAGACCCTCCTCTTTGACCGTGCCTTCAGCAGAGAGGCTGAAAGCCTGGCCACCGATGGTAGGGCAGGTCGAGTGGGAGACATAGAGCAGACTCTGAACTGAGGGACAAATGTAATTTTGTTGTTGTTTGGATACTTTAAACATGGTAATGAGTTTCTTTTGTAGCAGACACCTGGCTGAACAAAAGGGTCTGAATTATATATACAATCAGTTTTTGATCAGTATCTCGTTTAAAATAGGACTGATATCCAACAATAACAATAACAACATTACATTTGTATAGCCACACATAAATCAGTTACTAAAATTTAGAGGTAAATGAACAATTATATTAATCTTACAGTAAAAGCCTGGTCTTGAGCTTTGGACAGTTTTTATTAATTTTGAATCTTGATCAATGCAGGAAAACCTCATTAGAAAGTGTTTAGCAGGGTTCATTGTTTTACTGACCACATTATAAGTGAGGCAAGAAATATGGCCAACTTCCAGGTCCTGAAAGTGCTGATAATATCGTTTAATGCACACATAAGAATTGTATCACTTCCTTCACTGGTGCTTCCTGAATGTAATGCAACATGCATTAACAAACCTAATGCCGCAGCGAGTCAAATTAGGAGCTGTGCTAACAGGGCAGGAAGGTAATTAGAACAAATGGTGGAAAGGTCAGCACTTGGAACGAAGGTTATTTATCTCTGTAAACTTTAACTTGGAACAATTAAAAAGGTCAAATAATTTTTTTGTTGATGAAATGGTTTGTATCCCCCGCGGATGGAACCCTCAGAATTTGGTTTATTTTGATTCAGATTGCAGTGACAGCATTATATACATTATTTGGTGTCGTTGGAATAGAATTCAGCTGAACACTCAGCGATTAGCTACTTCAATACAGTTTTTATTCCATCAATGGCTATGACCTTCACAGGCGATTTGTGATGTTACCCTATTCCTTGTGAGATCAGTGGTTTTTTTTATTCAGTGGGTTGACTCTTGGATACTCTCCATGCAAAACAGCATTAAAAAAATAATAATATATTGGTCACTCGTTCCACGACTGTTTGTGGGACACTGCTGTGCACAATTAGCTGCTGCGTTTTGCCCACAAAATATACAGTTAATTCACTTTACTGTATAGCGGTTTGAGACGTCTCGAAGACATGATACGGCGCTGCATCAAATGCAGTTATTATTATTATAATTATTATTATCAAAACCCTGGTGCAAAAAACCTTGCTCGCCCCACTATTGGCAGGCGGGCCTTCTGCCACTCTGCACCCACCCTCTGGAACTCCATCCCACAGTTCCTCCATCTCGCCCCCTCCCTCGCCACCTTCAAGACCCACCTCAAGACCCTCCTCTTTGACTGTTCTTTCGATTGCCCTGCCCTCCCCCCACGCGACCCTCAGCTTGGGTCCGTAAGTCTGTCTGTCCAGCGCCTTGGGATGTCCTCCCAATGTGAAAGGCACTTTGCAGATGTATTTTTGTTGTTGTTGTATTTTGTTGTAATGACCCAGAAGTCATTCTTTTTTCAGCATGGGAAACTGGCTTGTTGATGAGGAAGTTGTACCATTCTTCTAGTTCGCAAACCTCCAGAGGACATCAGAAGTATAAATGAGGCAGAATTCTAGCAAAGCATTATAACCGGGTTTTCTTGTAGTACAGTACTTCATGTTTCTTGCATGATAGAGAGCTGTGTGTTTCATAAATGATTAATTATAATTTATTATAGCAAGGGAAAAGAGATGGAGACTATAATGGATTAATAAAGAGGAATATACTGACTGATGGTGATGAACAAAATGGTCTTAAAAAGATGATTTATTTGATTGTGCATTTGATCAAATTCCTTAAATTATCTTTCCTCTTCTCTAATAGTAGTGGAGACAATAGGAGACAAAGATCCAGAGATACAATAAATTTGGTGTCTTAAAACAAAATTACAGGGAACATTTGGTAGCTTAATTTGCAGTAACAGTACTATATTAAAAGCCAATTATGCAACCTTGTAACCTATGTTCTGTGTAAGAAAAAACAGAAAAATAATTGTTCAGGTTTGAATTAATGTGTGTTTTCATTTTAAACCAGGGCGGCAAGGAGCATGGTGTCCCAATCCTAATTTCAGAAATCCATTCTGGGCAGCCTGCTGAGCGATGCGGAGGCCTTCATGTTGGCGATGCAATACTAGCTGTTAATGAAATCAACTTAAGAGATGCCAAACATAAAGAAGCTGTTACTATTCTTTCCCAGCAGGTAATGTAAAGAAGCTCAACCTTGAGATTGTTACAGATCCATAATAATAATAATAATCCTTGCATTTGATATAGCGCTTTTCACATCTTCTAGACGTCCCAAAGCGCTTCACAGAATATACTGCAAAGTGAATTGACTGTATATTTGTGGGTGAAAGCTCCTGGTCTCTGTGGTTTGATTGATTACTTCAATTTTAGCTTGTGACTGACAGACTGAAGAAACATGAATATTACAGTAAAACTGGACAGTTTTGTTTGGAATCCATAAAATCCGAGCCTACTTTAAAGCAAGGTGCAATAGGTTGTTTTATTGCACACTTGCCGGCCAGTTCCCACACTAAAAGAAAAACATGGCTGACTTCCAGTTGGTGGGTCACTGCAATGCCACTTCCTGTTTTATTTGCCAAGCAGAAAGTAATATCACTGATGATATTCCTGTCAATGTTTTTTGTGTGGGAAGCTAAAATGGCCAACTTCCGGGTCACTAGGTTGCTGCCATCATCACTTTCGACTTTGCTGCCCAAAGCTGGAAGCATTGGTGACCAAAAGTCTAATTAAATAGAAGTTGTTTTTTNGGCACAAAAGGCAGTCCATTGTGCAGAAAATGAGCAGGCGAGCTGCTCACATGCACAGTAAATGGAGTCCACAGTACTGCTGTGTAATAAGTGAATTTGTGCCATAGTGAAGTGCATTATAATGGGTTGCACCATACTTACTAAACATCAGGTTTCAGGAATACCTTTAATATCAATAATCTTAATTTAAAAATAAATACAAAATAGAATTTAAGCTAAAATAAACATTTAACAAAACTAGATGTGCAAGTCCTATTGTCACTATGTTCTCTTTATGCTATTTTCTATACATTCTATTTTTTTGCTGTTTTTAATGTTAAATCTTGTTTCCTACTTGTTGCATCCTTCCACTTCCTACTGTCCATTTTAAAAGATCAAAGCATCTTTTTAAAAAGGTAATTTTCATTGGTCCAAATAAGTTAATTGAACGATTGAAAGACTGACTATTGATCCAGGCATATCATGGGTGCGACCCACTCAACAGCTAATCTGATTTTTAACCACAAAGCAGAAAGTAGGAACCGCAAATTTTATATTAATATTAACACTTCCGCCCTGATGTATGTATACGACCATAATGAATTATTCTTGCAGTGATACTGGGAAGACATTTTGTTTGAATTTGTTTAACTTGTTTGAATTAAACTGCATTAGCTTTGTATTGGTCAAATATCTATATTAAAACACTTATCAAACTACACTCCAAGCCAGACAAACTTTTTAGTCTCTGTGTTTGTTTCAGACACATATATCTTCACTTATTTTTCAAAAGAATTGTGAGTCAGACTAAACTAAGATTATATATGGATTTCTCTCCAAACTAGTTAATCTTATTTTAATGGTTAAATCAGTAGATTAAAGCCTTTGAGCATTGCAGCATTTGTCTTTTTTTTAAGGAGTTTGCAGATTTAAAAATGCTTTAATTCTAATTTTTAATAATGATTTTGAAATTTACAGAAATGCTTATTGTATTCAATGATAGCTTTAGATGTATTCAGAAAGTAGGAACAAACTATTAGTGAACCAATGCAGAGAAAATAGTCTAAAATGTGATATTCACAAATTGGATGCTTTGTATTAACTGCAGATTCCAGTTTTGATTGTGATTCACAATTTTGAGATTTTTTAAAAAAAATGCCATCTGGCAAATGTCAAAAAGATGCCAGTGTTTTGCTTTCTGACCTTTCATTAGACGTTTGTAGTCTTTTCTGAGCAAAAAGTGGCCCAAATTCCACTGCCAGCTACAATTTGAAATTGGCAGTTCTACTCATGGCCAGTGATTTTTTTTTAGCCATTTTATGGCCAATTCAAAAGCCCAAAAGGTTCTAAGCAAAGTGCTGGCCTCTTTTGGATATTTGGCTGCCTTTGAGATTCAAATTGAAGTTTAATCTCAAAATCATGAATAGTGAACAGCAAGTTATAATTACTGCAAGGTATCTAATGATCCATTTCAGAACACGGTGACTGTCAAATTGTGTGATTGATAACTCAACAATTAAACACTGTTCACTTTGTTTCTGCAGAGGGGAGAGATTGAGTTTGAGGTGATATATGTCGCTCCAGAGATAGACTCCGATGACGAAAATGTGGAGTACGAGGATGAGACTGGACATCGCTATCGCTTGTATCTTGACGAGCTTGAGGAAGGTAGAAACGCAGCTGTGGGCAGAAATGATGGAAGTGGTGATGCCAAACCATTAACGGGTAACGATCTCCTAAAAAGAGCCAATGTCGTGTTCTGTTAGACATACACAGAGATGCATATGGAACTATCTAAAATTGTGTTCATCTATACTAGGTACATTATAACCTCTTGAATAATAGTTGACAGCAAGTCAGTTCCAAATAGCACAAGTTTAATGTGGGATTGCTGGGATTGCGAATTGTCCTTGCACAGCTCATTATTTATTGACAAACTGAAGCATTAACTTTAGCCAAAAGCTGCTCAAACTCAGGGGTAAAGGCTTCAGCAGATTTATTTTCCACAGTAGCTCAAATGAAATAACCCGTTCAGAAAAGTTCCATACTCTTTAATAAAAAAAGCACCAGCCTTAGTTAGTACTTCCATGCAGGTAGACACATTCAGTTTCAGGGCTGCACCTGTGTCTCTTGATGTCCTGTCTGTCAACAGGTGGCACATTCTGTTCAAATTCAGATATCTTGTGCCACAAATCTGACATTTTTTTATTTAGAGATGTTTGGGGATAAGCTAAATTGCAAAGAAGTACAGGCAAGTGAGTCAGTTGCTGAGGTCAGCAAATAAGCACGGACTAGACTGGTGATTTATACAGAAAAAATGTAAGGTTCAAGAAGTTCCCTTTATAACCTAATACTGTATTTATATTATTGTGTGGTTATGTAGTGTGTGAGAATCTCTCACTGCAAAGAGAACTGTAATGCAGAAACCATAATTCATTGTTTTCACTGGAAGTTCTATTATGGAGAGTTTGCTCCCTGATAGTCCAGCAGCACTATTTCCCCAGAAACAGGACAGGCCTCTCACTGCTCTGTAGCATAAAAGTGGCTCAGTTTGATTTACCCTACAGTTTTCTAGGGTGATTTGTTTTCTTATTATAATAATCCTTGCATTTGATATAGTCCTTTATCATGTCTTCAAGGTGTCTCAAAGTGCTTCACAGAATATACTGTAAAGTGAATTAACTGTATATTTTGTGGGCGAAACGCAGCAGCCAATTGCGCACAGCAGTGTCCCACAAACAGTGTGGATTGATTATATGATCATGGCTTCAAAATGGTTCTGCAATTACATATTTTGTTTGCAGAGTAAAGTTATCACAAGAATATATTTTTTTAAAAAATGCAATGTATTACCATTCCTTACCTGGATACTAACATTGACTTTTTTTTTAAAAAAGCAACGGAGCAGAAGCCTGTTAAAGATGCCATCTTAAATGGGGATGCAATAACAAGCAGTGAAACGGTTTCCAAGGATACAACATCCAAACATGAAGATTGTGCAGAGTGCTCATTCTAAATTGATCCAGTGTTACTTTCTCAGTAACATGATGATAATTCTGCACTAGAATGGTAATACAGAAGGAACATTCTCTAAATGTGATAAAGCGTGTAAATCTGTACTGGGAAATAATGTCTATCGGGGATCACCATGATTATGTGCTGGGGTTATAATGTTGCTATGGTACTATGGAGTTGTAGTATGAACAGTTCTGCATGTATGAAACTCTTGCTTTTTCATTAATTAACATTGCAAATGTGTTTGTTACAAGGTGAATGAAGTTCAGGGTTACAAATGAAATATAAATCCAATACAAATGAAATATAAATGTTATGAAAGTACTAGGAGCCTTAGCAGGTGGGCAGGCCAAGGCTATTGGTTTAAGATTAAACAATCTTTTGGGAATATTTGAGGCAGCATTCACCTTCTTAGTTGTTTTTTGCCTGGTATCCACACAAAGCAGGGCTTTCATTTGCTTAGAATTTGGCTAGTCCATCCTCGTGCTCTGATTTGGAGCTTCTAAAGGGAACTGTAGTCTTATGAGCAAATGTTGGTATATGCTTTTAAATGCTCTGAGCTTGTTCGGGAATATTATCTGCACCATGTACGTGCAAATCTGTTTAAAAGGACGACCTAATGGTACAATATAACTATGTCCTGAGCCTCAGCAATGTCCATTGTAGTTCCACTGTGTTAAATGTTACTGTTAAGTTAGGTAGATAGTGTCCTTTTAGAGAATTAATGTCCACCAGATAGTACAAGTGTGACACCTTGTGTTTATTTCTATAGAAGACTAAAATATGATGGTCTGGTAAGTTGTGGATGAACACCCTGCATACATGCACCTCATTGCAAACTCATTCTTAAAATGGATTTCTGATTCAGCAGTTATACATATAAACTTTAAATTCTATCCAAATTGTTTTCTGCACTCACCTAGGATTTTCTAGTATTTACCTTTAAGGTCATATATAATGTCTGATAATCAGCCCCCAGCACTCAGTGTAGTAGCACTTCTAGGTGTCTTCCATGCTTAGAATGACAGTGCTTCTTGCGTAGATCTCTTCTGCATTGGTGACCTTTGCCCAAAAATGGCTCATTATCTTCTCTAGACTCAAGATCTTATCATTCACACTATGCAAAGTGAAATTAAAACACACTATTGTGACTTTTAGAGATGAGATATAGCTCAGCTATATTGTGAGACTGATTTTCATTTATCTCTATAACCGTAGGAAAGTCGCAATGTTTCAATAAGTCCGAGATGAAAACCAAAAGTTCTGAACAAACTCCCAACAAAAGGGTTTTGCTTCTGCAGCTTCTATGTATTTAAATAGTGAAGTTCACACTTTTTCTATCTGTAAAATATTGTAATGAAACAAACATTTCACTTTATAATGTGAGTTTGTTATCGTTGGGAGTACTATAATAATTTCCTAGACTTTTTTTGTATAAGGAATTCTGTATTGTACATACATCCATTATCAGATTTTTAGCTATTTATAAAGTTACACAGTTTATGGTGTGTTATTTTTATGGGGTTTTTCTGCCCCTTTCATGGCTTTAAAGTTACACTTCCAAATGATCGTTGTGCACAATCAAATTACGTTGACTTGTTAAGGCTACATGCTGCCATTTGGGCTCCTTCTCAGCTACTGAAGAAGTTTGTCTGAAAGGGCATTGTCTAATAATGGAAGATATTCCATTAGTTTTTTTTAAACAAATTGAATCTAATTGATTCTCCACTGTTTCTGGAGACTCACAGGTGTATGATTCGAGTGATATTGTTCATGTTTGATGTATTCAGCCTCATCAGTAGGTGGCAGCAGTTTGTCACTTGCTTTAAAGTTTACACCAGAGGCACATGCTCAGAATCTGAATTAATATTGTACCACATCTATAGGGGATACTTTTTTCCCCCCTCTGCTAACAGCTTCTGTCATTAAAAATGTAAAACGCAAGGAACATTTGTGGGACCAAGTTTGTAGTGCTTGCAAGATCTTTCACTTTTGATTTTTATCACTCATTGTCAGAGATCTTTGTTATTCATGTGGTCAATTTATCCCACTGTCCTACTATTTAATGTGATAGAAGAGTCTTTGACACAACATTTCTGTCCAAATTAAACATTGTTGTTATTGCCAAGCACTAGCACTGGATCTCATGCACCAGCAATTTCTCCTTCCCTCCTCCCTTTCAGCAGAAAGTTCAAGCTCAGTTAATATACTATTATTTGGAATAAAGGGATGGGGGGGAGAATGAGAAACTTAGTAAACTATTGCGACATGATCATAATTGTTTACGTGATAAAGGTGTTTAATTTTTTAATGTATTGTTTACATTTATTTTACACCATTATTTATGGCTGTTATTTCTTTGTGTGGTTGAAATTCTAACTTCAACCAGTTGAGAATTATAGTGGTGTTTGTTACTTTTTTGGTTGAAGATGGTTATAGAAAATCTAATTTATGCCAAAGTCCATCAATACCAGAGGTTACATTGAAGTTTGATTTGTAAAGCACAATATCCTTATTATAGTGACCATCACTATCAACAACATCCAGAATCTTTAACTGTAGAAAACTGCCTCAATCATTTTGTTCTTCATTTGTTAATCTGCTGCAAAACATTGTTCTAATGGTCATTCGGTGTTCTGAGCATTATTTAGCAAACTTCGATATGATTCATTCACACAAGTAAAATATTTGGGATGCAACTTCGGTGCTGAAAGCATTCAGTTTTGCTATTCCTTAATACCTCTCATTACATGCTCACAATTACTGATGCTCTAAAAGGAGTGGTAAGTCTAGTCTCCAATGTGTGCGTGGAAAACCACTGCCAATGGTATGGAGCATATCAATAATTCTTACCCTATGAGATATATATATAGGAGATGTCATAAAGAAATGTATATAAAATATATATGCACCTTTTGTGTTCAAATTTGAATGTCACAAGAGAATGAAGGACAAATGGCTTTGTACATTCTTGGCTTACTGTTTAACATTGCTTTGATATTTTGTAAGTGCCATATATATGTATGTATATATATATATAAATGAGTAAATGTTTTCCTCACAAATGTCTTGATAATTCTTTTAAAACCTTTTTTGTATCTCAAGAATATTTCAATATTACTTGCCCAGTTTTTAAACTAAGCCTCCAGCCCTCCTTTTCCCCTTTTGCTGTCAGTCAAGTGGTTAGGATTAGCAAGCTTTCCCATTGCTTGCCTACCTTACTCTTTAGGGCTTTGGCTTAGAGGGTTAATAGGAGCTGAGTGGGAAGAGTCACTGCTCCCAGGGACACTTCCCTCTATTCCCTCTCCTTCATGTATGAATCAAATTTCCTCTAAAAATATACTGATATGTTTTGCTTCAACCACAGCTTTTGGCACTGAGTTCCACATTCTCACCACCCTGTGTATAAAGAAGTTTTTCTTAAACGCCCTATTAAATCTACCACTGATTTTGCTGCTTGTTTTGGACTCAAGTGGAAATAGTTGATCAATGTCCACTTTATCAACCTTTGATAATCAAATGTCTGTCAGGTTCCCTTACTCTAGAGTGAAAAGCTCCAATCTGTCCAATCTTTCTTGATAGCTGGATGGACTCATCCATTAACTGGTAACTTATAAGTTATTCTTATAAATCTACACTACTATCCACAGTAGTTTTAACCTGTCACTTTACTTTGTCTGTCGAACATCAAGAGCTGGATGAGCGCAAAATTCCTGCAGTTAAACATCAACAAGACGGAAGCCACACACTTTGGCTCCCTCCGACATCTTCTGTACCACGGTTCCAACTTCCTTAACCTACTCGACCTGTCCGTAAAACTCTCTGAACCTGTGCACAACTTAGGGGTCAGGTTCGATCCCCAGTTATCCTTCCTCCCCCACATCTGGTCCCTGATCAGCACCGCTTTTTTCCACCTCCGCCATATTGTCCATCTCCAACAATACCTCAACCCAAAAGCTGCCGAAACCCTTGTCTATGCCTTTGTCATCTCTTGGCTGGACTACTCCAACTCCCTCCTCCATTATCCACAAAATCCAGCTCATTCAAAACTTCACCTCCCACATTCTCACCCGCACCAAACTTCATACCCCAATTACTCCATTCCTTGCCAAACTCCACTGGCTCCCTGTCACAGAGCGGATCGACTTCAAGATCCTCACTCTAGTGTTTAAATCCATCCATTCCTTGGCACCCCCCTAACTCTCACCTCTCCAGTCAGCAGTACCCGCTGCCTCCGCATCCCCCAAATCCTCTGCTCCACCATTGGTGGCTGTGCCTTCAGCCACTACGCCCTGAAACTTTGGAATTTCCTCCCTCAACTTTTTTGCCTCACCCCCTCCTTCCCCATATTCAGGTCACGCCCGAAGACCTTCCTCTTCGACCCCACCTATGGTCACCTTCCCCTGGCTCAGCCTTGGGCTCCACCATTGTCAAGTGCTTCAGATGCCGCCCAGCGTGGAGGGTGCTATATAAGTACAAATTGTTGTTACTCAAAATGTACATCATTCTTAAATTTTCATTTTACTCAATACCATCTCCTAATTGGGAGAGCTGTCTATTTTTCTACATTTGAGATTATCAACAGTCCTTTAAAAATCTATTTATAATAGCCTTGCATATTGCATTTTACACTTTGCTGTAATCTTAAATTGCATAGTTCTTGATCAGTTTCTTATTCTCTACCCTTTACTGTGTTCTGTCCTCTGTTGCCCTTTTATACGCCTTTCATGTCAGGACGTCCCAGCATCTTGGGATGTCCTCCCAACGTCTGCATTTAATTATGGTGTCAGCTGGCTCAGTTGATAACACTTGCTTCCAAGACAGAAGGTTATGGGTTTAAAACCCACTTCAGATTTTGACCTCATCATTTGGCCCGACACCCCAGAACACTGCTGGAGGAACGTTGCAATGTGGGAGGTCTTTCAGTTGCAACATTAAACTAAGTTTCTCTTCAGGTGGATGTTAAAAAGCAGAAGGGGATTTCTCTCCAGATTCTGGCCAACAATCCCCAGATAAAAAGGATCAATCGACTTCATGGCTATTTGTGGGGCATTGCTATGAGCCAATTGCTGCATTCACCAACAAATACAGTCACTATATTTCACAGAAATTTTATGGAGCACTTTGATCAATTTCAATGTGATCAGGCGCTATATCAAATGGAAGGATTAAGGAAAAGGTGCACCGAGTCAAATCGGACTAATGGATTTGTGAAACAAAAAATCCTTGCCCTTTATTCAGATGCATAAAAGTTCAACGGAAGACAAGAATGGGAATCACAGTAATTATTGTGGAAACCATTTAACTGTTAAAGGACACCTTTATATTGAATTGATGGAGAACAGTCAACAGGAAAATAATTAAGCAGAAGACAATATCTTGAAAGATGAAGGTATTGAAAACTGATCCACATTTAATTTTAAGGTTTGCAATTAAATTTGCTGCTTCAATTTTTTTTACAATGGGAACTACCGTGCACAATTAGTTGCTGGGTTTGGCCCACAAAATCTATAAACAATTCACTTTATAGCATATTTGGTGAAGCACTTTGAGACATCTCAAAGAAGTGATAAGGTGCTGCATCAAATGCAAGGCTTATTATTGTAACATCAATAATTTACATTTTATCTAGCAACTTTCATGTCAGGAGGACAATGGGTAGAACAAAGGACAAAAAGAAAATAATTGCAATGTATTTCATATACATGCATCAACTTTTATGAAGTTACAACCAATGAAAAATACAGGTTGTAATATTGCAGTATTCAAGTTAGCAAATTCAAAAGTTAAGTTTATAAGGAAAATGTAATTTAGAATTGGCATACAGTGATCACATTTTAGTTAAGATTCTAGCTATTTAAATACTAGATAGTGGTGGTGGTGGGGGGGGGGGGGGTGCAGAGGTTTGTGGGGAGATTCAGAACAGATTGTGATAATTTACCATATTACATACCATATTTCCCCCTACAGTCCCCTTGCTTTTTAGGCTGTACTGGAAATTACTTCAAGGAAAGGTGTCAAATCCATTTTAGTTTGCAGTTATTACTAAACTTTTTTTTTAAACAAAGATCATATAATCAAATACCAGAATACTTTTATTATAACCTCATTTTCAGCACAATTAGCATGACAGTATTACAGAAAATCCAAGTCCAAATAATAGTGACTTGAATATTGTATGACCTCAAAATGATGGAATAAGTACATGAATTCCATTTAGTCCATCATTTTATTTAGCTACTCTTAAATGCCAGAAATGGATTCTGCCTACAAATAATTAAGAATACTTTATATAAATACAGTGGTTGTTTGGTATTTGACCAGAGTCTTTTCATCAGCATCACTGCATGAAGCAGAACAAGGTAAACAGCTTTATATACTATATAAAAAACACTAATGAACAGGAGTCATCAGGTGAGCAACAATAACAGCAACCACATCAGTGCGCACATTGTAAAGACCAAGCAAGGCTCTAAAATTCTCATTTCCAGTTTCCAAAGATGAATATCATTGAATGTAAGCAAATGCAAGGTCTTAATATTACTGAGAAAGATGGTACATAAAAAGTGACATTTTTCATAGAATATTTGTTGCAGCTTAGTAGCAAAGGAAATTGTTAAAAATAAGAACATGGCTTATTTCAATTCCTGTCAAAGTTAACATTCTTTCAATGCTTTGAGGATAAGATCAACAATACATATTTAAATCTGTGTTGAGCTCAACTGCTGAAAATAAGCAAAAGCACGCAAGGATTCATAAGAACATTTTACATATCAAATTGCACATCCAGTGTATTGAACAGCCTAGTTATACCACTTAAAGAAACATAAATATGCACATTTTCTTAAGACTTTTCTTCACCTTGAAAACATTCTTCCAGTTTATCAGTCTAAAGCTGTGCATGAGTTTATTTAGTGCTCTAATAGAAATTTTAGTCTCACACAAGACTGCACAGTGTAACTGATATCAACTCTGGCACGCAACTCCCACAGACAATGTCTCGGTATTATTCTTGCAATTTATTCTCAATCCATGATGATGAACGAAGACTTGTTGAATTCACTGTAATTGACCAGCTTCAGGTAGATTTTGGATATAGTTTTTTTTCATCCACTATGGCAAGAAGCTTAGCTCTGTGTTTTAGTAGTTCCAACAACTTCTCCAGCAGTAAAGGTGCTGTTACATGTTGGCCGATCATATTCTGCCTTCTCATTCTTTGAACAGTCAGTAATACCTTGTGGGATTTGATATACCACACTCTTTGGATGTAGTCCATTACAGTTTGGAATGTTTGATTCAATGGTGGAATTAGTCAGTTGAGAAAATGAAGACTTCTTTGTCAAAGTGGTCACTGGTACATTATAGGGAGTTTCTGAGGTGCAGGCACTGAGTGAATGACTTAGTGAATGACTGAGGTGCCGCACGGTTTCAACAATTGGGGTTGCATATTCTGGTTCTTGATTTGTCAAAGGCTCTGCATATTCATGCCGATTCGGAACAAGAGGGATGACATAATGGTTCATAGATTCTGTTTGACCTATTCCTTCATCACCTTCTGCATCTATTGGCTTAAAGGTAGAGCCCTTTCGTGCCACAGTTCCTGCCCCAACCATTAAATGTTGCTCATAATCTGCAAAACAGAGAACAGATAAAACATTAGATACTTCAGGGCTAAACCTCAATATCTCACATCTATCCACCAGCATTAGTGAACATCCAAGTTTCAGCCATTAACGCACACTTACTTTATATGCTATACTTAAAAAGGAACACTTTGGAACTTTTCTGCTGTCTCTGCCCTGCCACTACCTCCCCTCCTGCTTCTACCCATCCTGCCCCCTCCTCCAGTCATCCTTCTCCTCCTTCATCTCCGGTATGAATTCCACCACATGCTGCCCCAACCCCATCCCTACCCCTCTCCTAACCTCCCAGCTCGACCTCCTTGCCCTCCTGCTAAGAGACATCATAAACCTCTTATCCACCAGTATAATTCCCATCGTCAACAACCCCCTCCTCATTTATTTTCGGTAATATCTATATCTATAACTAGTAATGTTATATGGGGACATATCACCCCTTTAAGAACACGTCAAACGATGGGTCTTTGTCTTTGTCCATTTTAAGACACATCAATTCACAATATTTCAATTACCTGATAAATCACTCCGGACAACATCAAGCTTCTGCAAAGCCTCTTTTTCATGGCTGTAACTGACAGTAAATTCAGTTAACTGAGGTCTTACGAAGCATGATTTGAACTGTTTCCAGCATCCTTAAAAACAAAATTTAATATTTCAATAGACTTGCACACTCATGTAACTCTGTAGAGCACAAAGCTAATTTAACAATCTTCATAATTTTGCCAATATTTGTGATATTTAGTAAACTGGATTTAATAGGTGAATTATGACTTATTTGCAAATATATGAACAAACCATTTGATTAGTCTAATTTGCAGGCTTTCAGGGATTACAATCAACTATTTTTCAAAGTCAGAAAAAAGTCTATGGCAAGCAACAACAACAACAACAACAACAACAAGATTCCATTTATAAAGCGCCTTTCACGTCAGGAGGACGTCCCAAGGCGCTGCACAGTTGGGTCATGACCCGAGCAGGGGGGAAATGGTCAGGGTGAGGGAAGGGAGGGAGTGAGGAGGGGGGAAATGGTCAGGGTGAGGGGAGGGAAGGGAGGGAGCGAGGAGGGGGAAGAGAGTCGAGAGGGGAGCTGAAGGCACGGTCAAAGAGAAAGGTTTTGAGACCGGCCTTGAAGGAGGAAAGGGAGGAAGCGGCGAAGGCACTGGGGGATGGAGTTCCAGAGCCTCGGGGCTGAGAGGCTGAAGGCCCGACCACCGATGGTAGGGCGGTTGGGGCGGGGGACGTGGAGCAGACCGGAGCCAGAGGAACGGAGGGTACGGGCAGGTAGGTAGGGGGTAGTAGGTCGGAGAGGTAGGAGGGAGCAAGGCCGTGAATGGCCTTGTAGGTGAGGATGAGGATCTTGAATCGATCCTCTGGGGGATGGGGAGCCAGTGGAGGTGAGCGAGGGTGGGAGTGATGTGGTCCCGAAGCCTGGTGCGGGACAGTACACGAGCTGCAGAGTTCTGAATGACCTGCAGCTTGTGGAGGGAGGTGGCGGGAAGGCCGGCGAGGAGAGAGTTCCCATAGTCCAGCCTTGAGGTGATAAAGGCATGAACTAGGGTTTCAGCAGCGTGAGGGGTGAGGTAATGCCGTAGTCTGGTGATGTTCCGGAGGTGATGGAAGGCGGTGCCAGTTGTGGTGCGGATGTGAGGGAGAAAGGACAGCTCAGGGTCGAACAAAACGCCGAGGTTCCTGACTGGCTTTGAGAGGTGGAGAGTGCAGCCTTGGATGCTGATGGTGTCAGCGCCTGAGGTTCGGAGGCGCTGGCGTGAGCCAATCAGGAGGGCCTCGGTTTTTCGCACGTTGAGCTGAGGTCTGACCATTTTGCTTTCTGACTTAGACTAAGGAATGGCATGCTCTTATGCCTTTATTGAAGTAGTTTGCCATTTAGGGCACCATCTGTCAAGCTTTCTGCTGCTTGTGTCCAGCTAGGACCACCATACACATTATGGCTATGGTTTGGAAGGTTAACAGGAGCAGAGTGGGAAGAATCCCTGCTGGGGGCAGGATCTACCTTCCAAGTCCTGCTGATGAGTCAGGCTGGCTGTGCTGTCATTATCAGTAACCTGGAATACTGCGGGCCCACCTGGCTCAGGAACCAGACTACTGAGACTGCCACAGAGTGTTGACTCAATTGCAGCATTATGTTGCCAAACATGTCACCTTGGAACCAGACAACCCCTCACTCCCCCACCACACACACACATACAGGAGAAAAAATTCCAGTATTCAACTATTAATTAGCTTATAGCTTAATAGTATACAAATGATCTCCTAAAGCGCCTTGCAACCACAGTGCTAATAATTGTAAAATTGTGTGTACACAGTAGCTTTCATGGATTTCAACAATAGAAATCCCTCATACATGCCTGAATAGTCAGTCAATAGGCATATTATTCAGCAGATGCAGAGAAAGAGGAGCTTCAATTTACACTCAGCATCCCATCTCCAGGGATTAATTGCTGCCACACAGTTATTTCCACGATTACAAAGCTGTCAAATCATGATGTGAACATGAATTTGTTCAGCAACCAAAATATAAATAAATATGGCATACAGTCAACAAACTGAATTGAGAAAATGCATCAAGTCACAGTTCACTTTGAGGTAGAAGATTTTAAAAAAAAGAATGCTCCACTCAATTTATCCTCAATTAAATGAAAAGAAGATTAAAGTTTGGTTTGCCTTACCAAAGCACTACAAATATTTAAACGTCTGCTCTGGCCCAGAATGTATAACACTAAAAAGTCATTTCTTACAAAGATGAACTCTTTATGTTTCAGGCTGGTTCACATGGGAGCACTCCTGCCTCTGAGTCTTGTGGGTTGAAACTCCACGTTGGGACTTGGAAGTTGTGTAGACTGACTGGGGATTGCTGCATTGTTGGAGATGTTGTCCTTTGAATGAGACGTTAAACCAAGGCTCTGCCTGCCTGTTCAGGTAGACTTTAAAAATCCCTTGGCACTATGTGAAAACAGAAGGGAGATTTCCCCAATGTCCTGGCCAATAATACCAGCCCACCCCCCAAAAAAATGTGCTCATTCACTCCATGGTTGTTTGTGGAACATTGCCTTGCACAAATTAGCTGTTGCATTCAACTACAAAATAGTCACGATCCTTTACAATATATTCTGTGAAATACTTTGCAACGTCCTCCTTGACGCAAAAAGGCACTATCCCAAATTCAAGGATTATTATTATTAGGCAACAAATAAATGGAGAAACTTTCTTAGCAAGGAAAATCAAGAAACTGCATCTCCTATAGTCCTACAAATGGTCAAAAAGTGGGAAGAAATAAGTTCATCCTCCCTAATTTGGGACATAATCATTATAACATCTTTGAGACTCTCAAAGCGCTTCATAGAATATACTGTAAAGTGAATTGACTGTATTAGCTGTAAGCTCTTGTAGGCTGATGTATTTGGCTCAAGACAAACTACATTTCATTTAATGAGAGGTCTATGGACTACATAATGGAGAAGCTATGATATTTCTTGTTGAAATGTATTTCTGAATGTCTCCCTGCTTCATTTCTAAGGTCAAAAGAATCAAACCTTGTAGCTTGTCTCAGCTCAGAGGATAAAGGAAGCTTTATTGACCTCAGCATTCAATGAAGGGGAAAATGAGTCATAAAATCTAGTAATCAAGACACATTCAATATTGAGGAATTATGAAAGGCAGTCATTGAAATGTTCCTTATCAGAAGAGATTCCAGCTTCATTTATCCTCTAACCTAAGACTGGATCCGTGTCTATCACTTCTTCCCTGTAAATTGACTTGCCAAATATTTAATGTTGATCTTCACTGGATATACTGTAAAGTGGACTGTGTGAATTCTGTAGGCGAACATGGCATAGCCAATTCCACAAATAGCAATATCCCACAAACAGCCATGGAGTGAGTGACCAATTTTTATTTGGGGGATTGCTGACCAGGACAATGGGAGAAATTCCCTTCAGTTTTTGAATAATGCCATGGGATCTTCAACATCCACACGGACAGGCAGACAGGGTTTCAATGAAGTGCTACTGCTTTGGCAATAGTATGCCAGATGTAGCTTACATTTTCTAGCTGAAGTTGCACTTGCTCTGTGGTTGATAAGAAAATGGATACTGTCAAATCAGAATCTGTCTGGTAAGAATAGTCAACCTGAGAGAAACATTTCTTTGAATCTGGCATCGTTCTGCAACATCTTTCTCACTTTAAATCTTACTTTCTTCTTCCTCCGAGCTGGAATGGCATGGAGGAACAAGCGACGGCTGGTGAATTAGTGAACTGTTCAGATCACTGCAGCAATTTCTAAAGATGGTATACTGTACATATCAAGCTAGAATTGTGGCAAAAATGTGTTCTTTAACAAACTTTAAAGCAATATTTATTGATGATTCATTCATATTAGATTATGATACTTTGAAACTCACTGGCTTGTGAAATAAATGGAGCTTTAATATACAAAGGCTATCACATTACACAACTAACCTGATTTTGGAGGACTGGAAGTGCCAAATGATTCTTCAGTCTTCTTGCTGCAAAATTAATGTAGCATTAGACAACTGAATATAACAGCAGACAGATACCACAAACATGCAATTTGAATTCACTGCCATTAAGTGGAATACAGTACATTACCAGCCAGTTCCCATGCTAAATGAAAAAAAGGAAACTTCTGGCTCACTGTGATGTCACCTAGAGTCTTGAGATGTCCTCCTGACAAGAAAGGAGCTATCTAAATGCAATTTGTGGTTCTTGTTAATAAAATAATAATCCTTGCATTTCATATAGCGCCTTAACACATTGTTGAGATGTTTCAAAGTGTTTCAAAGGATATACTATAAAGTGGTATGACTGACTGTATTTTGTGGGTATTCTTTTTGTTTTGTACGACCATAAAGTGGGAAGTGCCATTTGCATCCTGATTGCAAGAAGGTCAACTTTTTTTAGAATCTAAAAATGGCCAACTTACGGGTCATTAAGTCACTGCCCATGTCATCTCCTATTTTACACAGCAAATTGCGAAAGGATGCCAATAACATCCTAACAAACTGGATAATGAACCAGAAGTTGAATATTTTAGTGTGAAATGCTGGCTGGTGCCTGAGAATCAGCTATGTGCATGTTCAATGAATGGGTTCCAAAGTGCAATCTCACTCTAAGCGAATTTGTGCAGCACAATGTGCAGCTTTGTATTTCATCCTTTCAATAATAATACTCGCAGTTGAAATTATACCAATAACATCGAAAAATATCTCAAAGCATTTCACAACTTTTCTGTTAGGTGTAGTGACTGTGTATTTGTATGTGAACGTGGCAGCCAATTTCTGTACAGTCTTGAAGTAAATGATCTATTTTGTTTAGAGAATGTTGGCCAGAACACCGGGAGAAACCCTCTCTTTTCAAACCGTGGAAAAGGATATTTAACTTCCACTTCAGTTTTATGTCCCATCTGAAAGATGACACCTCTAACAATGCAGCACCAGCCCTGCATTGTTAGCTCAAATATTCAATGTAAGGCTTAAAGAATCTTCTGACCCAGAGGCAAGAGTGTCATAACTAAATCCAGGCCACCGCCTAAGCTCTTTTGAGGTTAAAACTGCAGTATTCCTAAACATGTTAATAATTTAAGGAGCACTATTAAAATATGTTTGAAAAAATATCTAACTTTTGAATAATGGCCCTTTGCTCGGCCGACACTGAGCTATTCTATGTCCCCCACACACTCTGCTCTACAGGCTTTCAGCCAATGGGCACCCTCTCTCTGGAACTCCACTCCCAGGTCCCACTGACCTAATCCCTTCCCTCTTTCAAGGTATTTCTGATACATACCTATTTGTCTGTGCTATCGGTTATCTTTTCCCCTTGCAGCCCCCTAATTCCCACACTCAGCTCCAGTGCCCAGCCAGAAATGTGAAGCACTTAGGGATATTCTCCCAATGTGAAAGGTGCTATACAAGTGTGTATTGTATTGTGTGATGTCCCAAAACAGCTGAAAATCCCGCTTAGTAGACCTGGCTGTTTTTGATTGTGGAATCAGGCTTTTAGTTACCACTTTGTCGATTGATTTGGTTGTCATTTCACCTACAAAATACATGGTCACTACACTTTTTAGTATATCTTGTCAAGGGCCTTGAAACATCCTCCTGATGTGAAATGTACTATACCAAATGTAAAGATTATTATTTTATCTTGTAAAGGTGACATTGAAAGGTCCCAATCCAGGATCCAAAACACCATCTACAAAACTTCCAATAATTAGGCCAAAAGTATAATTGTAGGCTGAGGGGGCTTCTACTCAGATAGTCATGACTACAAAAGCTGATGAAAATGGTAGAAGACAAATAGTTAGTCATGGAGGCAGTGGAATACCCTGTGATTTAACTAGTCAAAGTTTGTAAGTTGTAAGAGCAGTACAATGTGCAGCTCTGTATTTCATCCTATCAAAATCACTCTTTCTTAAAAAATCATCTGCATCCCTCTTACAGTCTGAAACTATCGTCCTCTCTCTAATTTGCCCTTTCTCTCTAAAATACTGGAATATATCACCTCCAATTATGTTGCTACGTCTATCAATGTATATTTGGATCCCTCCAGTCTGGCTTTTGACCTGCCCACAGTTAAAGTCACAAATGAAATCTTATCAGCTTGTGACCAGAATTCTCTGATCTACTCAGTCCTGTCAGTTGATTTAGATACTCTTTACCAGTATAATTTTCCATTTCTCCTCTTTGGCTCGCCTCTCAGTGACAATGCACTATCTTGGGTTCACTTTCATCTGTGTTTTGCCTTCACTACACTTTCTTTAACAGTTTCCAATTCCCCTCCACCCTCGCTATAGTCATCTGTAAGACGTAGCCCAGCGTTTCACTCTTAGTCCTCTCCTATTTCATATCTGTTGGCTTCCTTTGGCAACATCCACTGCGATGTTTCTATATGTAGCCAAGGACACTACTTTTCCTTGACCTTAATTACAAACTCATGCTGTTCTGACTACCTGTCAGACATCAAGGCTTTGATAGACCGTAACTTCCTTTGGCTAAAAGTCCGCTATCTTGTTTGGGTCTCACCAGGACCCTCTTGCTCCAACTTTAATAACCTTCCCAATTTCTATAGAATTGAAAATTGTAGTATAATAAAGTATTTAAATTATTATTGCACTTTCAGAGCAGTAGGACTTAGAATAACCTTTGATATCTCTGAATTTGAATCTTTGGGCTTCATTGGCCTCATCCTCCCTGGGTCACTCTCATGCATCTTCTAGGGATCAGTTCAAAGTGGCATTAGTGGAAACTTGATAATAGGGTGTGTTCCCGCCCTCACAGCCACTCTGCAGTTTGGGGGAGAAAACATCCTTAGCTTAAGTTAAAAATTTTGATCCAAAGGATTTGATGCACTTGATACTTTTCTTGATTCAAATTAGCTCAGCTCCAAGCAGAACCCGCTTATCTCCCCCCTACCCTTCCAAGGAGGATAGTCATGAGTTGGTCATTTGACAACTGATAAGCGCAGGTTTGAGCCCTCACTGGTGGATAACAGGTATCAGAAATTTGCTGCAAGCTTCATGGTACGTAGCACAGCTCCTTGCATTTATATAGCACCCTTCACGCGGGGTTGGGTCAAAGCACCATACATGAAATGAATGAAATACGTGAGAACATTGCACCAATTTCATGCCCATAGTTTGGACCCAATTATGATAGCAGACAACCACAAAAGAAGGCTACCAGTGTGGAATAAGAAATTAAGCAAGTCACTCCTGGTAAATTTAAAGTACTTCACATTTTTTTTATTAAATGTAGTGTGTTTAATTATGTTTCTCTATCTTTTCCCAAACCCCTCCGCTCTTGCTCTGGCCTCCTCTTATTGGGTGCGGTTCCACAGGTGCTGGTTGCCCTCTGGTATGTTGCTCAAACGGTCATTGCTCATGTGTGAGCCTTGCCAGTGAGTGTCACCAGGCCACCCCGACTGTAGAGGGAGTCACAGCCTGACCTCTCTCCATCTGGCTGTCAGACACACATACAACCAGTTGAGGGTGCTGTAGAGGGTCGATGAGAAGGAACCTTACTCTTTTATCTATGGCTAATTTAATCTCCTGGTTGAGAGAGACCAGCATATACAGCACAAATTGGGATTGAAACCATTAAACTCCTGGTCTGTAAACTGCAGTTCTATCCACTACACCATCTACCTAACTTACACTACGAAATACTGCAAGATGCTGGTAAAAGGTGAACCGTTTCTGTAAATTCTTTTAACATTTACTAGGAATTTAAAATGCACCATTTTTCCATCATAGTAAACCTTTTATTCTCAGGAAAGTCAAAAAGTGACTATTTGATCCAGTAACTTTTTCTGTACTGGTCTTTCTGCAATTGATGTATGGCAGACAGTCAATCTCACGCCCATCTCAGTGTTGTATGTGCCTAGCATTCATTCTTCCAACATAAGCCCTGTTTGGCAGTGTACCATCAGTTGTAATAGTCCAGCCAAAAAACAAACTATCACAAGGGTAAGTGGACAGGTCATGTCAAGTGTGGAAAATCTCCTTCATCTATCAAAATATACAAAGATGTTGTATCCTTAAGTGATTTAATCATCATAGCATTCCTGCAGTGCTATAATAAGGTAAAAATTCCCCTATTCCCCAAAGTATTTACCCTAAGGTTTCTTCAATTGGATGCAACAAAATACCTTGAGTGAGTGACCATAAATGGTACAATCTTTACACTTAACAGCTTGCAAGTGAGATATTTGAGCAACTTAGTGATATGTAAATAACCTAAAATAACCAAAACAGAAATGCTAGAGTATATACAGTTCAAAATGTTAACCACTGAAATAACTGAAGCAAATGAAAGAGAAAGGTAAGCAAGGTCATGTGAACCAGAACACCCTGCCCTTAACGGATGATTGGATATGTACAAAAGTGAACAATTTACTTGCCCATTCTGTGGTGCTTAGAACTGATTAATAAAAGTATAAATTGTGCAAAAAATGTGTTTAAAACGTACTAGCACTGTTAACTTACTTTGTTAAATTCCTGAAAATGCAGATGCCCAATATCAGTAGGATTACAAAAATTATAATTGGACTCATTGTGGCTGCAAGCTTTCGCCCTGGAGAGAAAGTGAAAATGGATAAGCTACACATTTAAAGTAAATACTAATGAGTTATTTTCGAAGCAGCGTAAATACTAATGAGTTAGTCACGAAGCAGCAAATAGCTTTAGTGTATGCAAAAAATATTCCTCAAAACTCATTTCTAACCGACATTTCTGAATTTTAAGGATTATAAAAACATCCTGCAAAACAGTAGCTTGTCTTTACCCATAATCTTTCACTAGTTTGATAATTTGAAACTGCAGCAAGTATCTATTTTGGTTGATTTAACAATCTGTCTGCCTGTAAGAGGAAAACCATACTCCCAACATTTAAACAGAGAAATAATTTGAAAATACTGGTGTGTTTCTTACAAGTTTCAATACCAGATCAGGATTCAGTAATAGGGTGACTGCTATATATTTTATAAATTAAAAACAAATGTGGCATTATTACTTCTTACCCAGGTTATTATCTTTTGTAACTATAGGGTCGGTGTTGTTCACACTATATTTTTCCAGTATATCTGCACGTGGAGTAGGGCGGGGTTTGTAGCTTGTAATTGCTGGAAGTAAAAGTACATCATATTAATAATAGGTATGTTGCAATAATATTCCATGGAAATTAAATCAACAATTGTAATTTCTTTCTCGATTCTTACTCTCTTATCTTTAATTCTTGGTGTGCTGCAATCACTGAGTCACTGCCTCATATTGAGGTGGGTGGGGGGTGGTAGGTGGGTAAACACCAGTTTGCAGACCCAACTGCTCAGTTTCCATATTAAAACCTGATCACACACTGATGGGGCTACAACTATTATCCAAACCTGGCTTTAGTTTTTTTTAAAAAAGTTGCAAAAGTATTCTACTCAGTTTAGTGTTCAGACAATCATCATCATCCTTGCACCTTATCATGTCTCGCATCCATAAAACATCTCAAAGTGCATTATAGGATTTACAAGTAGAGTGTACAAGTGTAATTGGTAGGTGAAAGTTATAGACTGGAGGATGAGAAATTTCTTCCAAATGGGCTATGGAAGTACTTACACCGCACTTGCTGGCATCCGATTAGCTCCATTTTAACGGCTATTCTCCTTTTCCATCTTTGTGGAATTACACGCATGTAACGGCCGACTGTGGCAGGAATGAAGTTGTTGCGTGTTAATTGGCGGTAATTTGTATTACCGTCAAACACCTGCAATATATAAGTAATGACGTAGTAAATCCATGAGTTGCATTAAGCACGGTAATCATACCCTTATGTGCGTAACTCGGATCATGAGTGGAAATTCTGCTCAGTTATTATACTCATATTATTTTCCACTTTCCGATGAGATGATGACTTGTGTTGAATTATGGCTTCCCAGTTGCTATGTATTATCTCATTCGAGTGGCCATCTCTTTACGCGTGCTACTCAAACCTTGAAAAATTAAATACCTCATAACAACAAACTAAGGTGGCATAAATTCCTTCTCATCTATGAATCATATGACACATTTTGATAAATATTCAAATTATGAAACTCATTGAGCTGAGCCCGTATTTCAAACCTTAACTGGACTGAATTATTATCAACACGAAAAAAATCTATATATCAACCAAATATACTCAACTGTAAATTATTCTTACCTGAAATGTGCCCAAATTCCATAATATACCTCAGCTAACATAACTACTGGTCATCTCCACTAAGGAGCAATTTTTAATAATAATAATCATCCTTGTATTTGATAAAGCACCTTGTCATGTCTTCGAGACATCTCAAAGCGCTTCAGAGTATACTGTAAAGTGAACTGACTATGTTTCGTGGGCAAAACTCGGCAGTCAATTGTGCACAGAAGTGTCCCACAAACAGTCGTGGATTGAGTGACCAAATTATTTTATTTATTTATATTTTTGAAAAGATTATTATCTCCAAAAATCCGCCAATCGACTGATAAACCAGATTTCTACTTACTACTAGGTAAACAGAGGTGTGTGGAGTGAGGAAATTTGACTAACATTCTGCTCCGCCTGGCCGGGAATCGAACCCAGGTCCTCTCGCTTGCAAGGGGAGTGCTCCAACCAATATGCTACAGGACTCCACAACACTTGCCAGCCCAGTGATATGTCGGAGCCTTCATTTGTTAATTTAATTTGTTCAGCAAGCTCCTATTAAAAATATTTCTAAGAAAGCAGGTGTTAATAATAATAATAACCCTTACATTTGATATAGTGCTATTCACGTCTTCTAGACATCTTAAAACACTTCACAGAATATACTGTAAAGTGAATTGACTGTATAGTTGTGGGTGAAACACGGCAGCCAATTGGGCACAGCAGTGTCTCACAAACAGTCGTGGATTGAAGTGAACAATTTATTATTTTTTTTCTTGAAGGATTATTATCAGGCACGTAGAGTAAGGAAACTTACCCAAGGTTTCGTCCTGCTGGGAATTGAACCCAGGTCTCTCTCTTGCAAGGTGAGTGCTCTAACCACTGAGCTAGAGGATTCCACAGTGTAACAGTATTGTTCTTACCAATGGATCTATTCTTTTTATGATATCTTTTAATCGAATTGCTTCCAATATTCTAGAAGGATGATTGCTAGAAATCAGATTAGCTTTAAGCAGTGGTGGATTTTGGTGTTTAATTTGCCGTGGAATTACACTTTCTTTCCTCCTCCAATACAGTTCCCTAAGTAGGAACACGTGGATAGCTCTGGCAATATAACATGGAACTAAACACCAACAGGTTTGTGTCAGTGTATTGTTTACTAGTTTAATTGGTATCATGAATCTTTGGTTCGACTGCAAATAAAACTTATTTTGTGTAAGGCATAGAGGCTTAAAGACACTACTTTTAGAATCTATTGTTATATATGCCATAGCTCATAGTAATGTTGGAAAGCTGTGGCTGACAACATCATCATTTGCCTCACAATAATGAGATGATTTGAAAACTGTTTGAAAAATAAAAAATGAAATACCTTAGAACCATTCCTCATTAGTAGAAGTAATAATTTTTTTTATTGAAAGACAATACTGAAGCAAGAGAAAATGACAAACTGGTTACACAGCTATAACCAACTAAGGAGTCTAGCCTGAAGTTAGGTGAACATGCTTACCTTTTCAACACCACTGTGACTTTCTTTATAAGTTTTCCACTTTTTACGATCTTTGCTGAAAGCCACTTTATAGCTCTCCAAATAGAAGGGAAAATTTGGATGTGTGGATCCAGTGGTTACAATTCCTGAGATGATTAGAAAATGACAAATAATATATTTTTCTCGACAATTACTAAACAGAGGTGTGCGGAGTAAGGAAACTTGCCCAACATTTTGCCCTGTCGGGAATCGAACCCAGGTCTTCCGCTTGCAAGGCGAGTGTTCTAACCACTGAGCAGCCCCCCACTCCCCAGTTTCCCTGTCTCTAAAATCTCTCTAGAAACATAGGAACATAGAAACAGGAGTAGGCCATTCATAACATAACAAAATAACATGTAGGAGCAGGAGTAGGCCATTCGGCCCTTCGAGCCTGCCCTGCCATTCAATCATGGCTGATCTTCTAATCTAACTCCAGCTAATAACCTGACCTGCCTTATCCCTATATCCCTTTTGCAATAAGAAATCTATCTATCTCAGTCTTGAATATGTTCAAGGACTGAGCGTCAACAGCCTTTTGGGGTAGCGAGTTCCAAACATTCACCACCCATTGAAGTTCTTCCTCAACTCAGTGCGAAAGGGCTGGCCTCTGATTTTAAGGTTGTGACGCCTGGTTTTAGTTTCTCCAACCAGGGGAAACAATCTCCCTCTATCTACTCTATCATGCCCTTTGATGATCTTATAGGTTTCTATAAGATCCCCTCTAATTCTTCTATATTCTGGAGAATATAGTCCCATATTGGTCAGCCTATCCTCGTAACTCATCCCCTTCATCCCTGGCACTAACCTAGTAAATCTACGCTGCACCCCCACCAAGGCAAGTACATCCTTCCTTAAATAAGGAAACCAAAACTGCACACAGTATTCCAGGTGTGGTCTCACCAGGGCCCTATACAGTTGCAGAAAGACTTCCCTACTCTTATACTCTAATCCTTTCATAATGAATGCTAACATACCGTTCGCCTTCCTAATTGCTGCTGCATCTGCAGACTAACTTTCTGTGATTGGTGTACAAGGACACCCAAGTCCCTCTGGACGCTAACACATTCAGCCCTTCGAGCCTGTTCCGCCATTTAATTAGATCATGGCTGATCTGTACCTCAACTAATCCTTTCAATTCAAATTTCCCGCTTTCTCTCCACATCCCTTAATATCCTGACCTACCAAAAATCTCTTGAAAGTGTGAATGGAACCCGCACCACAGCTTTTAGGGGAGAGAATTCCAGATTTTCTCTTTCTCTGCACTCTACACTGTGTTCTGTAACACATTGTTTAACACAACTATCTTCCATCAGTGTTCACAGTCGTGTTGCATGGCTAAACTGTGGACTTGGTAGTATGTGTGCTTGCACACAACAATTTGTTTTGCCGGCATTGCACGTCTGACATCAGAGCCCAGTGCAGATAAACTGATACATGGAAAGAAGATGTGCAGATACACAACACCATCCAAAACCAATAATCTAGCAGAATTAGGCAGTGTTCAAGTCATTACAAATGTAACATATGCTGTTATATTTGTAACAAAAAAATAAATATGCCAGAGATTAATCCAATAGATAACTCAGCCAATATCATTCTTGGCATCAGGAATAGGCACATACTTGTAAGTGATTGTTTTAATAGTAAGGCATTTATTTAAATATACATTTAATGCAAATGTTGAAATCAAAAGCAAGTTTGAACCCTAACATAGCATGTCAGAATACCAGCTCATTGATTTACACCCACAGATGATCATTAGCAAAAGCAGAGAATGCAAAGATGTGATTATTCACCATTTATTAATTAGGTTTTCTAGTTCCTAAAAATTCTTATGCTGGTTCTTTTATTATGTTTGTCTAAACAGTCGACATGAAGCCTTCATCAACTAAGCTAACCAAATGTTACATCTCAAAGGCCCTCGACTAAAAATTAAAGGAAATTATTTCTGGAACCAAATTTCTAGTAAATGCACATTTGGAATATTAAGGTTATCCAGTTCCTAAAAAATCTTTTGTCATCTTTGTCTAAACAGTGCCATCTGTTTCATTAAGGAAACTCATCCCTCTGTGTATTAATCTGTTTATTGCAGACTTCACAACACAATTTTCTGGCTGTGTTCCTAGTTTTGGTGCAATTCCTACAGACGTCGTTTTCATAGGATAGAAAATAAAGCATAAGAAAGCAAAATAATAATAATCCTTGCATTTGATATAGCGCTTTTCACGTCGGGAGGACGTCCCAAAGCGCTTCACAGAATATACTGTAAAGTGAATTGACTGTATATTTGTGGGCGAACGCGGCAGCCAATTGCGCACAGCAATGTCCCAAAAACAGTCGTAGATTGGAAATGACCAATTTATTATTGTTTTGGGTTTTTTGGAAGGATTATTATTAGGCGTGTGGAGTAAGGAAACTTGCCCAAGGTTTCGCCCTGACTGGAATTGAACTCAGGTCTCTCACTTGCAAAGCGAGTGCTCTAACCACTGAGCTACAGGACTCCACAAAAAGGCCAGGAAGGACCATCTGTCTGGTTCCAAAGCAAAAAAAAATGAAAAACTAATCTTACAACTGTCTCATATCTCTCATTTTAACTCTTTGCTGAACGGCTGTATAATTTCCTCCAGAGGTTTTTGTCAATACTGGCCTTACATTGATTGCCTCTGTTTTACATATAGTGCAGCCCCGTTATAATATGCTTTCTTAGATGGCGGGTGTCCCGTGAACCCAAGGCAGGCTTGCAGTCCTGCACATATACACCAATAACAATCTAACCTGTTTGTGGTAGTAGGTTTGGTTGTGCATTGCATCAATACATTACCTAACCTGCCCGAGGCAGCAGGTTAGACTGCGGATTGTCAACCTGGCAGTTTTCTGTGCAACACATAAGAAGTGATACTCGGAGTGACCTGTTGGGACAATTTCAGTGTGGAAACCAGCTGGCTTCCTGCAGTGGAATGGGGGAGATTAAATTAGTCCTGATCTTTCTAGAGTTAGGAAAAGAAAAAACAACCAAAGTTCCTGCTTCTGGTCCTACTACAGTACCCTCTGCTGGTATGTGAGCCTGGTGGGGAAAGAGAGGTCAGGCTCGGTTGTGATGAGCTCTACAGTCGAGTGCCCTGCAAATGCTCAATAACAAAGCTCATACTTTACAATATCCACTTGAGGTACCAGAGAGCAACCAACGCCTGTGGAACCACACCCCAGCGTGAGGAGGCCAGACTAGGAAGAGTGACATACGTCAAGTAGAAAAATAATTGGACACCACTAAATTTCTATCCTAAGCATGTTAGGGTTTAGTCTTAAGCCTAAAGTCACAAGACCCCATTTGATTTATTTATTTGCACTCCACACTGCTCTGATGGTTTCAGTGATATTCCCTAAATCCTGCTCTGTGTAGATTAATACTATTTAGTTTATATTCCTGTATATTTTCCTTCTCGTAACTTAGTCTACATTGAATTACATTTTCTCATTCGTCAGTGCAACTCCCTAATCTTTTCAGATCACTCTGTGGGTCTATGAACTGTTATTTGTAACTCCCTCCCCTCAATTTGGTATCATATTTAAGATAGCTTAGTATCTTGCCTTGCTTTCAAATCATACGCGTACATTGTAAATAGTATCCACCTTACCACGGATCCCTGAAGTTACCTATGTTTTTTTTCCCCTCTGTTTTACTGCTTCCTCAAGAATATATGCTGTACATTGTTCTCTCGGTAATGTTGTTTACAGAAACCCATATTCACCTCTGTACTGTTCCCAGTCTAGCACTGTCACCCAGTTTCTTCCTCATCCATTCAAATTTGTTTGTCTAAAGTTGACAATGTGTGCTGAATTTCTCTCCTTCCCCATTGTAAGCCTGACTTTAAATCCACTCATATTGTGATCACTATTTCCCAGGCGCACTTCCACATATCCATGCTATTTCAAAATTCAATGTTTGTCAAAATAAAGAATGTGCGTACTTCACACGACTGAAACACAAATGTTGCTGCAAAATACCAAAACAGAATAATTGAAAGAAGATATTTATAATTTGCCAATTTAGATTTAGAATCAGGGTTGCTGACACACTATATATTTTCCATCTCTTTAGACTTTGCTTATAAGGAAATTTTTGCCAAGTCTGTAAAAGCACTGGTATATTGTTTTAACTCCATTTTGATTACATTATTTTTTAAGTGATTATAAACCTAGCAACGTAGTAGAAAAAAACATGCATATGTTAAAAATGATTAGCTTCTAACTAACCTGTGATATATTTCCTCTCTCCTAAATCTACTTCCAGCCATTGCTGACCATCACTTTGATGAGTGGTCCTTGCAGGTCCTTGAACATTAAGCCGTGTTCCGTTTGGAAACCAGTTGATAACGTGACCACTTGGATCTGTCCATACCTGGCTATCTGAAATGATGCCCGGTTCCATTCTCAGTGGTTGATTACAATCTACTTGAGCAAAGGAAGAAAAAATATCATGTTTTAAGGATTGGGTGGCAAACTGTGTGAAAACTCTTGGAGCTAGCTTCAAATAGAAAACTTGGATCTACTGGTGTAAGCCTCAGTCTCCTTTTTCTCATATCTATGATTGGAGAAGAGCTAAATGAACTTGAGTAGTTTAATCTCAGACCTTAATCACATGCAAAAACTATTTAGAGAAGTCAAAAGGATGTTACCATAATCTCCAGTATAATCTAAACATTTGAGAATTGGTAAAGGCAGGGGAACTTTTTTTGCATTTAATCTATGTTGTACTTAATGTAAGTGCTCGATACCAATACGCTGGCCTAAAATGGAAAAGTGTTTCATATCCCAGCTTCAACATCAGAAGCCAAGATGATGACAAACCTTTCCAAGAGTATTATATCTGTTCATGTGAATCAGGCAGCACTTCCAGACTTAATAACTCTAAGTGTGTGTCAGTCAGTCAGATTTGATGTGACAACCATTTTAACAACAACTTGCATTTATATAGTGCCTTTCGCTACTGTTAAGCCTCAAAGTTCTCAACAATAGCAGAGCCTCTACCGTTGTATTTTAAGAAAGGTTTTCCACAGTTTAAGATATAATGCTGAAGGAGTCCTTTAGAAAGACTCACTGGGGGTTTCCCCAGTCAAAATTTTACTTTTTATTTGTAAGAGAGGTGCCCATAAAAAAGCTTATTGGCATCAGTGTCTTTACTGACCTGAATTGAAGTTATGTTAAAACATTGAAGTACATATGTTGAAGTTACGTTAATCCACAAATTAGTTGGTTAAATAGTATTTTAATCCTTCATAATTTTGAAATATTGGGTGTTATTCACCCTGGACAAAATTACTGATGTGAATTGTGAATTTGTGCCTATGTTGGAATGAGATATATTCCTATTAGAAATGCAATTGTGTTTTCTGTGATCCGGTAGCAACACCACATTTTTGACAAGCGAGTTTATATACAAACACGCTGCATAAAATAGGAGAGGAATACAATGAAGGACACCTTACCACTGCTGTCAAACACAAATCGCTTTTCTGACAAGGACCCACTGTAAATTAAAACAAAGAAAGCAATTCAAAAAAATAATAAACTTTGAACCCATTTCAACAATTAAAGTATTAGAAATTAAATATAATGCATAATGCATTTAAACTCAGACCTGGAATCAATGGTATATCAGTCATCACTTGAAAACATTTCAGAATTTGACTTTTTGCTGAAATGCAACATTATCATTGCAGTGAATGATTTTGTTGGCCTATAACCGTTTTCAATTTGACATATGGAAAAGACCATTGATGACTTATGATGTGCTGCCTGTCGTGAATGTATACTGGGTCACAGAGATTTCTTCTACTCACTCTTTAGATTTCAGATCAATTGGATATTCTGTTGTTTAAGTTTAAAGACTCATTTCAATAACTATTAATATACACTAGGTTAATATTTTCTCAGAAAAAATATTCACACTGTTAGTGGAAACAAAAACATTTCCATAGACAGATTGGTCAATATAATTATACAATTTACAATTACAGAGCATCTTTCACATTGAGAAGATGTCTCAAAGAGCTTCACACAGCTGTCAGAACAACAACATTTACGTCAAAAATCATAACCACCTTAATCTGGAAGTGTTTACTAAGATGCTTTAATCAACTCAAGAGTTGATGATTTAATTGATTATTTAGTTGTTGATGGGCTGGATGGCACACTCAGCTATAGGATGTAAAACCACCTTTCAATTAAACCTTGGGGATTTAAAAACAAATTAATCTTTGCACTAAAAATGAAATGTAGTTTGTTTGGGATTATTAATTGAATTAAAGACAAATGTATTTAAAGATTCTGCAATAGATACCAGACTTAATTTGCTACTTATAACCCAAGTGTTCATTTTTTAAATACGGAAATTATCTTTGACCAATGATGGGCTTTTTTTTCCAATGTTCCAGGTTTGATGTATTTCTGCTTCTCTTGGCACTATAAAACTATTTATTTTTTTAAAAAATGCTCAAATTCACTGTAAACCCATCTGATTTGGCAACCTTTTTTATTTGTGCAGCAGTCCTCACACTTGCTTCACAGCTCTATATTTTCACACAATTGCTAAGGGTTGTGCTTGTCTAAACCATTATATTAAAGGTAACTTTTTATTTATTTTTCAAGGCCCATTTAATTTCATGCAAAAAACTTTTGAGAGCAAATAAAGCAAAATTAAACGGGCCAGATAAAATATGGACTATTCAATACTCAAATAAAATGCAGGAAACATCACTTACTCTTTAGATAAAACTCCATTTGCCAAGATACCTTCATATCGACTCAGACCTTTATGCTGTACAACATCTATCTGTCCTCCCAATGTATCCAATATTACACCAGCATGAATGGCAGCTTTGCAAAGGAGAGACGTCTAGAGAAGAAAGGATCAAGTTTAGTTGAAGATAGTAACCACTTTGCTGAATGAACCAATCAATATACCATCAGCTCACTCCATTGACAGCAAAAAGGACAAACACAGAAAACACAACCAAAAGTTATAACTTGAAGATAAATCAACTTAAATTTGGAAATGGATACAATCCAAGAAACCTAGCAAGAGACATCTGTTTTGACCCCTAAAAATTTGTGACAGGATTTCAAAACAAAACTTGGAACTATAAATGCAACTCAGAACCACCAGCTCATTCCTGTCAAACACTATGTACACTGTCATTGTACATCCACTTAATCTTTTTAGACACAGTTCTGCAAAACTTTTGTGTTGATTCTAAGAGAACTCACATCTTTTTCTACCGTGTTTAAATCACATTCATGATGACCTGGAAGTCGGCCATTTCTTGTGCTTCAGGTATACAGTGGGATCTGGGATATTGAACTCAGATGGCCACATTATAACAAAGTTGCTCTGTATTTTAGGCAAAGAAGCACTTACGTTAATTTACTCTGAATTCTTTAAAATGATGCTGTTAAAGTACATATAAATTTATTAAATAATTGATTAACATCCTTCAGTGATCCACTTTTAATGTTCGTGAAACCAGTTAAAATGCTGAAATGATCTGGAATATGTTTGTGCTATCATGGGAGACGTAATACCAGACTACACATCAATAGGTAACAATTGGTCTATATAAAATCACAAACATCCATTACACTCGAGAGGTAAATTGGAAAACTCTAAAATGTTTGATAATATGTTCAAGAATGTGTTCAGAATGGCATTGACCAGTTTGTGCTTTTAATCACACAGCTGATTGAATTAATCCCTCTAAATCTTGTTCACTAAAACATACACAATGGATATATGTGAATGTTGGCTATTATGAGATGTTCTGCATTGTTCAATAACCATTAATTGGTTGGACATTTCTCGTGCTTAGGAAATATATAAAGTAAATTTTTGCCTTTCAGTTGTTCACCAATATCCTTTAAAATATTAAAATCTATTCAAATAACACTATTCTGCAATAAATGTAAATAAAGACAAAAAATCAGAAACTATGAGCATGGATATGTATTAAATCCTTTGTGTATTAAACGATGAAGTCTGAAGACCCTTAGGGCTAGTTGCACAATTTTCCATAGTAGATGCACCAATTAGCTTGTTGAATGTTGCAGCATTTAAATGCATACAGAGATTCCCACACAAAAAATATGCTTGTAATCTGGCACAACCAGTTTCTAACAATTTATATGGATTATATCAGAACCTGATTAACCTAATCTCAGATCTGACATGTTTATTGTGGGATTGATTAGCTTTAGGTATAAAACAACAACTGTTCCCACACGCGAGTTTCAATCTGCAACCTTCACACATGGAGGCAAGTGATCTATCAACTAAGCCAGGCTGACACTTGATGCTCGCTACCACACTCCTTTTAATCAAAGTCAAGAAGTTGTAACTCCATTGGATAAGCAGATGAAAACATGCACACTATAACATTATTTTAGTTCAATACAACTGCTTTTCTAATGTTAGTAGAAAACAAACTCTGACATTTTGTAAATCAAAACATGAAAATCCTGTCGTTGCAAGAAAAGCACAAGTAGGTTAGTTTGTGCATCACAAGAGTAGCAAGAATAGTGCAGTAAATCACATGAACGCTGCCAGGAGTCTTTATATGCCATGCAGTCACGTTGCAGGGATATCAAACTCTGGTGGTAGCTGTTTAATGTTTTTGTTTATAATGCGGGTCAGAATTTTCTAGATCCAAACACTGAGTTACAGCAAATTTCCTGTGTATTTCAACCGACTGCCCAAAGGAAGCAGAGAGAAATCAACACTGTTAGTTTTAAGTTAAATTAATTCAATGCTTGTAAATGGGCTATTTACAATCTCCATTTCTCCCCTTTCACCAGGCCAATCGGTGACAACATTTGTACAGTTACAACATATGTGTGGGTATTCTGTAATTGGAAAATACACAAAGTAAATCACAAAAAGCCAATTTGCAATATAAAAATTATTGTTTAGTACTTACATGCCTATACCCTTTGGCAGCATCGCCAGAGACATCTCCTATTACAGTTTTGCAACCAGCAGGGCAGTACTTGCTGTAACAAGCATGAAAAATCAGATCACTAAAGTCTTTCTAAACCAAGCACATTGAAACAGGATTACATTGACCGCAGTTTCAGTCGCTGCAACTAAGACATCAATCAATAGCATTGCTCAATAGAGAAGTAGGAGGCACAAGATGGAAGTCTATTCAGATACTTTTAAAAAAGTGTTTTGTGTGTGACCTATCATCAGAAATAGAATATGTGGCCCCAATCTAGAATTGGGGAGAGGAAGTAGGGTCAGACTGGGAAAAATATTTGGAAGCAAAACATTCTAAACCACTAACTATAATTATTTAATGATTTAACACATTGTGAAATGTGGGAAAAGAATTACAAAACAATAAATGAGACAAAGACAATCTCGAATCGGAGTCAGTCACACATGTGTGAGCAAAAACAAAACCATAAAACAAATAACAGAAAGTAAGCCATGGATCTGCTTTTTATAAAAGAGGATCAAATAGTGAAAATTTACTGTAAGGCCAATCATCTGTTAGGAAAAAAATTGGTTAATGTTTCAGACAGAAGTCTTCATCTGTACACTAGCAAAAACATCAAACTCTTTTTCTATTTCAATTGTTAGCTGTGGAATTTCCAACATTCTCAAGTTTCCTTTTCGTCTTTTTAAAATCCAACTGGGGCGGTGCAGAAAAATGTTCTTCTCTCTTTGAATAGTGCCATAGGATCCCCAAAGTTCACCCAAAGAGTTAGATATGACCAAGGTTTTATATCTCAACTGGAGCACCTCCAACAATACAATGTTTCCCACCAGCACTGTATTGGAGTGTCAGCCAACACTGTGAGTTCAAAGCCCCCATGTGAGGTGAAGCTGCTAACAACTGAACCAAGCTGGTACATTGTAATGCGTGTGCAGATGAATAGACAGGTTAGAAGAGGTACAGGAGGAAGAAGGAATCATCACACTCATCATTTCAACCTGTTGAAACATATCTTCCTGCTGATGGAGCACATCTCCAAAGGCAAAAATCTGTGTTGGGTGGGGGGAGATAATGAGGGGAGAGAAAGAAAAGCCATTACATATGTCAATACAAGAAGATGGAAAGGGTAGACAGGAAAAGTACAAAAATAAAATATTACATATAAGGTTAGTTTGGAGGTGCTGTAATTTACTAAAAATGTTTGCAAAAATATTATTGGGCAAACAGAAGATGAAGCTAAAATGAACTCCCAAGACATTTTGAATAAATGGTTTTTGTAAATCCTACAGATTCACTGAACTCTAATGTGTTAAATTGACACCATAATTAATTTCATAATATATTCCAGACAAGCAATTAAAGAAATACTTCTTTGTACTATTTATCCCTGATCCATTTCATTGAAGTCCAACTTAATTCTGGCTGAGGTGAAGTCTTAAGATGATGATCCTACACTTGTGAACTGGTCATTTTCCAACAGTCATCTAGAACAAGAAATATTAAAATACTTAACCTCTGCTCTCGTACACTTCCCAAACCAGAATACATTCCAAAATATATTTCCAGATCTCAGAAGTATTGATTTCTATTGATTTCTCACCTATAACGGGGTTCATCATAATGGTTCCCTTTATCCAAACATGTAATTAAGTCTGAAAGAAAGAAAATCTAAGGTCAACATAAATCATAAATCTGTATCTGAGAGTGGCAGCCAGACTTTCAAAGAGGCAACTATTGCAATTGTACATTTCCTTTTAGAAATCTGAGCCATTTGCAATAGGAGTTAAAAGTACCTTAGAACTAAAAAAAAGAGCAGAACAGCCTGACCTTCAAGTTAGTAGTATTCACATTCAGAAATGCATGGATAGGTCATTAATCTCTAAAACTATGGGAAGAAGTCCTCCAACCGTTCTGGAATTTACTTACTTCGATGTTAATCTGTGAGATAATAAGGAACTGCATGTCTTAGTTTTTATACTGATAACTACATTAAATGAATTCAATTTGAACTAAACAAATTGCATTTTAGATAAATGCTACTTTTGCATTAGCTATATTTGCCATCAATAGTAAAAACAATCATGCCAAATTATAATCCTTGCGTGTGATATTGCCCTTTACCATGTCATCAAAATATCTCAAAACATTTCACAGGGTTTTACTACAAAGAGTAGAGATTGTGTATTTGCAGGGAAGCACCACAGCTGATTTGCAGACAGCAATATTTAACATTAACACAAAAACAATATTTAATATTCTAATTTAATATTAACACATAGCCAGGAAGTAAATGAGTTCAAAGTCATGATGTGGGGCTTGAATTCTCTGAAACTATGGCTTCCCATCACACAGAGTATACAGTGGCCGTCACCTTCAAAGCCCTCCATGGCCTTGCTCCCCCCTACCTCTGTGACTTCCTAAACCCCTACCAAACTGTCCACTCCTTCCATTCAGCGGCCTCCGGCCTGCTTCACGTCCCCCACCTCATCTGCCCCACCATTGGTGGGTGCGCCTTCAGCAAGTCTGACCCCACCCTCTGTAACTCCATCCCGCAGTCCTTCTGCCTCCTTCAAGACCCATCTCACGATCCTCCTCTTCGACCGTGCCTTCGATCACCCTCCTTCCCCCCCTACCCTCCACCCTCCCCAATCCCGTCCCCCAGCTTGGGTCCGAAACAGCAGCAACAACAACAACAAAATTACATTTTAGAGCGTCTTTCACGTCGGGAGGACATCCCAGTCAGGTGTCGGGGCCCGCGCATGGGGGAGGGCTGGTGTAGGGTGAGGGAAGACAGAGAGGTGGGAGGGCGATCATAGGCACGATCAAGGAGAAGGGTCTTGAGACCGGCCTTGAAGGAGGCAAGGGAGGAAGTGAGGCGAATGGACCATGGGATGGAGTTCCAGAGTGTGGGGGCAGAGAGGCTGAAAGCCCGACCACCGATGGTAGGGCGGGTCGGGCGGGAGACATGGAGCAGACCGGAGCCCGCTGAACAGAGGGAGCGGGCAGGTTGGTAGGGAGTCAGCAGGCCAGAGAGGTAAGAGGGGGCAAGGCCATGGATGGCAAGGCCATCCCGCTGATTGCTCACTCCCAGTCTCTGTGTGCACGTTTTGGCTGCCACCCCGAACCAAACCTCCCCCTCCCCTCTAAATGTCTCTCCTCCCACCCACCTCTATCCGCTACTCTCCCTCTGTTCTTCTCTCCCACTGCTCTCCCCGCCTTCTCTCTCTCCTCTACCCCATCACCACTTCCCTCTGCTCCAGCCTGGGCATCCTCCGCCGGTCCCATCGTGGCTTGCGGCACTGGCTGTCCCAGAGCAGCAACCCCACGTATCCAATCATTCACTTCCTCCGCTCAAACCGCCTCCTTAAGACAAACCCAACTTCCCCCTCCCTCATACATACCCTCCCCAACTCTCCACTCACACCACTCTCCACAACCATCTCTCCTGTACATCCAAAAATCCTCTCTGCATCTCTCTCCTCCCTCCAGCAAACCCACCTGATTTCCCTCCAAAATGTCCATTCCTCTCAAACAAAGCCCTCACCATCCACGAACTCATCCTGGACGAGCACCTTGACATTCTTGGGCTCACTGAAATCTGGCTCTCCCCCAGTGACCGCATCTCCCTAGCTGAAGCCTCCTCTCCAGGCTACACCTTCCACCACATCCCCCGTCCAAACAAACGTGGCGGCGGGGTGGCCTTCATTTCCAAAGTCTCCCTTGGTCTCACCCCCTACTCCTCTGGCTGCTTCCCCTCCTTCGAGCACCTCATCCTCTTTCACCCCTCTCTACCATTGAAAATCCTCCTTGTCTACCGCCCCCCTAAGCCCCCCGGCTCCTTCCACACAGACATCTCTACTCTCCTCTCTTCCCTGTCCCTCTGCTCCGAGCGCCTGCTCATAATGGGCGATTTCAACCTCCACCTAAACTCCCCTTGTACCACTTCTGCAGACTTCACTGCCCTCCTCTCCTCCCTAAACCTCACCCTTCACATAAATTCACCTACCCACAACCATGGTCATGCCCTTAACCTTGTTATCACCCATGGCCTTGACATTTCTGACTTCATAGTGACTTTATAGCATAGTGAACAAGACCATCTCGGACCACTTCCTCATCTCCTTCTACTCTCACATCCCTCTCTCCTCCACCAAGCCCTCAACCATCCTCTACCGTGTTTGGAAAAGGCTACCCCCTGGGACCCTCACAAAGGCCTTCACATCATCAAATATCCTATCCCTCTGGCCTTCCACTGACGGAGATCCTGAAGCAGCCGTCCAGTTGCTCCATGATCGCCTCTCCTTCACCTTCAATTCCCCCGTCCCCCTGAAATCCAGGACCATCTCCAAACCCACCCGACGCCCCTGGTACAACAACCATCTCCACTGCCTAAAAACCCAAACCCGGCTGCTCGAGTGCAGATGGCGGAAAACTGGCCTGACAGTTCACTGCCAACTACGGCTCCAGCATCTCCACATCTACCGCTGTTCTTTGACACGTGCAAAAACAGCCTTCTACTCCAACATCATCTTGGAGGCTAAACACAACCCTAAAATCCTTTTTTCCACCCCCACTACCTCCTCCATGCACCCCCTCAGGCCTCCTCAATCTTCACCTCCAATGCCAAGTGCGAGGAGGTCATGGACTTCTTTTTATCTAAAATACACAACATCTGCCAGGCAGCCTCATCCACCTGCCTCTTGTCACCCACCACCACCCCCTCTCTGTCCCCCTCACCCTCATCTACTCCTACCACGACCCCTATACTGCATTCCTTCCTCCCCATCTCTCCCTCTTCCCTCTCATCCACCATCACCTCCACGAAACCCACCACCTGCTGTCATCACCCCCCTCCTCAAAAAATCTTCCCTAGATCCCTCAAACCCTAGCCACTACAGCCCTATTTCTAACCAAAAGTCCTAGAATGCGTTGTTGCCAATCAACTCCATGCACACCTCTCCCCCCACTCCCTCTTCAAACCCCTCCAGTCCAGTTCCCACCCTGCCCACAGTACAGAGACTGCGCTTGTGAAAGTCACAAACTCCCCACTCCCCATTTAATAATCCCTCCAAAACAATAATGAATTGGTCATTTTCAATCCATGACTGTTTGTGGGACATTGCTGTGCGCAATCAGCTGCCATGTTTCGCCCACAAATATACGGTCAATTTACTTTACAGCATATTCTGTGAAGCGCTTTGAGACGTCGAGAAGACCGTGAAAAGCGCTATATCAAATGCAAGGATTATTATTATTATTATATATAAATGACATCAACAACAACAACAAGATTCCATTTATAGAGCATCTTTCACGTCGGGAGGACGTTCCAAGGCGCTGGACAGTTGGGTCAGGACCCGAGCAGGGGGAAATGGTAAGGGTGAGGGAAGGAAAGGGATGGAGCGAGGAGGGGGTAGAGAGTCGAGAGGGGAGCTGAAGGCACAGTTGAAGAGAAAGGTCTTGAAGGAGGAAAGGGAGGAGGCAAGGCAAAGGCACTGGGGGGATGGAGTTCCAGAGCCTAGGGACTGAGAGGTTGAAGGCCCGGCCACTGATGGTAGGGCAGTTGGGGTAGGGGATGTGGAGCAGACCGGAGCCAGAGGAACGGAGGGTACAGGCATGTAGATAGGGGGATAGTAGGTCGGAGAGGTAGGAGGGAGCAAGGCCGTGAATGGCCTTGTAGGTGAGGATGAGGATCTTGAATTCGAGACATCCTCTCTATCTGTGACCAGGGCTCCCTCTGCCTCCTTGTCCTCCTGGACCTCTCTTCCGTGTTTGACACAGTCGATCATGCCATCCTCCTCCACCGCCTTTCCTCTGTCATTCACCTCAGTGGGATCGCACTCGCCTGGTTCGAGTCCTACCTCACAAACCGCCAGCAGTACATCTGCACAAATGGCTTCTCCTCCTGCTCTCATCCAGTTACTTGCGGATTACCCAAGAATCCATCCTTGGCCCCCTCCTCTTTCTGATCTACATGCTCCATCTTGGGGATGTCATCCGCAGACATGGGGTACACTTCCACATGTATGCGGACGACACCCAAATCTATTTTTCCACCTCATTTTGCGACCCCCAGTCCCCTGATGTTCTGTCAGCCTGCCTGTCAGACCTCAGGAACTGGATGAGCGCAAATTTCCTTCAGCTGATAAGACAGAAGCCATTAGCTTTGGCTCTCGTCTAAAATCTCACGGGTCTCACCTCCTCCACCTACCTGACCTCCCCCTAACTCTCCGAACCTGTACAACCTAGGCGCTTCACAGAATACATTGTAAAGTGGATTGACTGTAAATTATGTGAAACACGGCAGCCAATTGCGCATAGCAGTGTCCTACAAACAGTCGTGGATTGAAGTGACCAATTTATTATTATTATTTTTTGATGGAATTCTTGAATCTAATTTAAAAATAATAAGCCATAAATCTTAAAACAGTGCCAAAATTACACCACAAATCAGAGAAATTAGTTTATCTTCTGAGCAGTCATTCTCAACCCACAGAAATTCAGTTGTGAGCACGTCATAAACTAGTATGTATACATATATATGTGTGTATATATATATATAAACACACAATTTATATAACTAAATGTATTTAAATCAGTTCTTATCTAAACTATTTTAATAAAAGAAACTCAGTCAAATTACGCAGAGTACATATGATGAAATTTGACTTCAGAAAAGCATACCTTTGCTTTCAGGAAAGACTTCCAGATACAAAGATGTTAAGCCTCCAAAAACACACTCATTAAATTGTTATTTTGCAGATAGATCATTCTATCATTTTCTTGTTGCAGATTTGATCAACATACACAATCATTTTTGATTTCAAAAAAATTAATGTTTGTTTTTCAATAACATTTTTAAGTTTGATATACCATACCTGGATGGTTGCTAGTGCTGTATGATATCAAGAAGCCACGCCCGGATATATGGGAACCACTTTTAAATTGAATTGTCATTTCATTGCTGTCTAAGTGGATTTCCCTGGAGACAGAATTTAAGTTTCCACAGTAGGTTCCTGTAGATAAACCCAAAAGAAAATTATTGACTTAACAAAAAACCTTGTTGTATTCTACCATATTTCATGGGTCAGATTAAGTTCTTAAAGTGATTAAATATAACTGTTACTTAGCACCAAGCCTCAAACACAAACATTTAGTTAAGACAGAATTTATTTTGCAGGTAGTAATTTCTTTTAACCTTTCCAGCTAGCCAGGGGTCCAACAGTCGACGACAGAAAGGTGAACAATCATCTTTCTTAAAGAGTCTCCAAATCAAACAATAATAATCATCCTTACATTTGGTATAGCACCTTTCACACCAGGAAGTTGTTTCAAAACACTTTGCAGGATATACTGTAAAATGCAGTGAGTGTGTGCTTTGTAGGAAATGCAGCAGTTAGTTTGTGTACAACAATAACCCACAAACAGCCATGACATGCATGACCACATGGAGATTGTTGGCCATTACACCAGGAGAAGATTCCATATCCTTTCAAATAATGCCACGGGATCTTTAATGTCCATCTGACCAGGCAGACAGTCTTGGTTTTGTGTCATCCTGGCTCAGTGGCAGCACTCGCGCCTCTGATTCATAAAGTAGTAATAATCCTTGCATTTGATATAGTGCCTTAACACATCGTTGAGACATCTCAAAGCACTTCACAGAATAGACTGTAAAGTGTAGTGACTATATATTTTGCGGACAAAATACAATCACAGGCCTTTGATAACTCTATGAAGAGCCCTTCTTAGAAAAGAGCAAATTATCAATCTAGGCATAAAATCAACTAAGTACTTATCTACTTTTCAGATATCATTAGAAGATCTTATTATAACAATGGAGCCAAGAACATTGTATGTAGAGAATTATTCCATTATATGTATTATGTATAATGGGGAGGCAGTTCGAATTTCTGGTCTAAATGAATGTTTTTGTACTGTGCTCTTACTTAGTTTTAAAGTAAAATTATGTTTCTTCCTTTCAAAATTGTAGTATGTGTTTTTTTTCATGTTATACTGTACATCAAATGCCAATTTCATTCCATTTGTTTGGAAGTACAAGACAAGGTACTGTATATTCAGGAGATGGTGTATTCAAGATAAGGTCAGCAAAATTACTAGAACAAACCCAAATGTTGACAAAATAAAGGTACTCAGTCACTCACACACTCCATTTAGTTTAGTAATAACTTTTGGCATCCTTTTGCTGTCAAAGTTAATGACACAATATCAAACGTACAGGAGAAATCCATCATCAGTCAGTTATGAGTCACCAACAGGAAGTTACCTCGTTTTCTAAGCTTGTTTATGCCAGAAAAGATGGGTCAAGTGAGTATGTATAGGAGTTCACATTTAAATTGGCAACATCCCATAGTGAGATCAGTCTTCATACTGTAGTTCCACGTCTAACACTTTCTTTCATTGCTACATTCAATTCTGCCTTTAAAATTATTTAAGTAATGTATGTAGTTTTTTTTTGCAAAATACTATTATCAATGTACGACAGCCTTCACACTAAAGATTACTTCACCTTCATTAAGAAACAATTTGCAAACTTATGGCTTCAGGCCAAAGTGTACCAATGTGTTATTCAGTAAAATTCTTGTTACTCAATTGAATTCTATTGTGAACTTAATAATAATCCTTGCATTTGACATAGAGCCTTATCACGTCATTGAGATGTCTCAAAGCGCTTCCCAGGATATACTGTGAAGTATATTGACCGTATTTTGTGGGCCAAACATGGCACTCCAGGACACCGGGAGAAATTCCCTTCTCTTTTCGAACATTGCTGTGGAGTCTTTAATGTCCACCTGAACAGCCAGGAGCTCAGTTTAATATTTCATCCAAATGATGGCACCTCCAACAATGCAGGACACCCTAGCACTGCAAAGGAGTGTCACCTTAGACTGTGATTCCAAGTCCTGGCATGAGGTTTGAACCTACAACCTTCTGACTGAGAGGCAAGAGCGCTACCATTAAACCAAGCTGACACATGAAAGTGACTAATGACTTGAATAAAAATCTTATCTTTCAGTCAAACAGCCTTTCCCAATTTATTTATGGCAAACTTCCTTGTTGCATCACTTTTGAGTTCCCTTTGACTCTGTTTTAGGATGAATCATAGTCTGATATTTTCCTGTCCAGATTGTGTACATAACGTTTTTAGAAAGGAACTTAATATTGTTTGCTTGTTTAGTATGTTCACACCAAATCCTTCTAAGCATTTAGGGAAAAATAGGGGTACAGTAACAGGCCAATCAGACTGCTCAGAGCCTGCTCTATAAGTTTATTATATCTTGCAGATCTTTCAATCCCAACATCGCTGCTTTGCACCACACCCCCTAACATCTCTACTTAATCAATAATCTGTTTAGCTCTCTTTTAACTATCCATATTGATTTTGCCTCTACTGCTTTCTGGAGCAGAGCATTCCACACTACACCCTGATACTTTGGAACACTCCCTCTCAATCCCTCCACCCTGCTTTTCTACCAATTTCCTATCCACAACAATATTACATGCAACTCCAACTGCCAAATAAAGAGTCAACAATTTTAAGGCAATAAGATTATTTTATTTGATGCAAAATATTTATATTGTAACACTAGCAGAGGGACTCTATAAATTTACAATAGTTTATTCCTTTCACAACAGAAACAATGTACAAGTGTGTGTAAGAAGGTTGCATGGAAGGGAAGCATCAATTTCCTTCAACATCTTTTTNAAAATATATAATCAGAGTCAGAAGCATGAAGATACAGGCAGAATAGAGCTGGAGGAGATAATAATAATAATCCTTGCATTTGATATAGCGCTTTTCACGTCGGGAGGACGTCCCAAAGTGCTTAACAAAACACACTGTAAAGTGAATTGACTGTATATTTGTGGGCGAACGCGGCAGCCAATTGCGCACAGCAATGTCCCACAAACAGTCGTAGATTGAAAATGACCAATTTATTATTGTTTTTGTTTTTTTGGAGGGATTATTATTAGGGCTGCGTGTGGAGTAAGGAAACTTGCCCAAGGTTTCGCCCTGACCTGCCTGGAACTGAACTTGGGTCTCTCACTTGCAAAGCGAGTGCTCTAACCAATGAGCTACAGGACTCCACTACATTATATGAGATGCCTTATAGGGGAGAGATTGTGAAAGTAATTAAAAGTTAGGACATGGTTATTAAAGTTGAGCTGCAGGCATAATGATAGCCAGTGGAACCAGCAAACCTGGATCGACACCAGGCTCTGCCACTGTTAAATGCTCTGGGATGCTATCCTGCGGGTAGGGTGCTATATAAATACAAGTTGTTGTTGTTGTAGGAATAATGGGTGTGTGGAGTCTTGTGTGGTGGGGGGAGTGCTCAGAGTGTAACCTAATCATCAGCACTGCAGAATACTTTTTTAAAAAACCCATCTCAGTGGTGACCTGAAATACAAACAAGTTGTTTGTTGCTGCAATTATTGTTCCCAGGCAACTAAGCACACACTTTCACAAGAAAGCCATATGCCAAATTACCCACATTATGCCTTTGTTCCAAATAGAAAACACAACTGATGTAATTAGATTATTTTTGTAGTGGGATAATGGATTCCCAATTTATTCCTGGAGGAAATGGTTATGCTCTAGGACTTTGACAATAGCCCTCTATGTAGGATAGCACAAAAGCAAGATTCTATTGTCCAATGCTATCTTTTTCTTGGTTTCACGGTAATTGTTGTGACCATCTGCTCATCTGTGCAGTCTGTTTACAATGGGCAATTCACTCATGCACTATATAATTGTCACCTTCTTAGAAACTAATAGTGCTAGACATTATGGTGTGTAAAACTGCAGTCACAGATGCTGTAGTATAGGCTGATTCTGATTATGTATATGCACATGTAGCACAGAGAAAAATGAACCATATACAGCTCTAACAAAGCCATAACTCATCATTTATTCCAGATTAACAGCATCTGGAGTATTTTGCCTTTTACATTTTAGTGTGTCTATTTGACATAAACCCATGAAACAATAAACAACAACATGAACAAGTGCCTTCCACACAGGGTAGCGTCTCAGAGTGCTTAACAGTGGCGGAGCCTGACTCCGAGCTGGGGGGAGGTGGCAGTAAGCACAGTCGAAGAGGGAAGTTGTCAGGCTGAACTTGAATGAGAGAAAAGGGGCAAGGTAGAGGGATTGTGGGAGAGTGTTCCAGAGTTTTGGGGCATTGTGGCTGAAAGCGTGACCTCCAATGGTGGGGCGGAGGGTGCGAGGGATGAGTAGGAGGCCGGTGCCAATGGATCGGAGGGTCCAGTGGGTGGATTGGGGAGTGAGAAGGCCAGAGAGGTAGGCAGATGGCGGGGGGGGGGGGGGGGGGTGGGGAGAATGGATTTGAACACGAGTGTGAGGATCTTGAAGTCGATCTGTTCGGTGATGGGGAGCCAGTGGAGCCTGGCCAGAACTGGTGAGATGTGGGTACGGAGTTTGGTCCAGGTCAGTATGCGGGGGGCAGAGTTTTGAATAAGCTGGATCGTTTGAATGTGGAGCTGGGAAGACCGGCGAGGAGTGCTTGGAGTAATCCAAGCAGGAGGTGACAAACTCATGCACGAAAGAGAAACCAGAGATGTGAAAAACCAAAGCTCATAGTTCTGATACAAAATCCTAAGCAATTTTATAACAACATTGTTTATATTTTGCACCAGTTAAAAAAATAGAAACTATAAGAGAGAGTAAGTTGTATAAACAAAAAAGTAGTTTTAATTGTCCTCTGTACAGTCAACCATCACTGAAGTTTCTACTGAGTAGAAATTCACAAGTTTAAGTTCAGACAAAATAGATGCAGCTGCACAACTTTGTCTCAATGCCGTTGTGTGGTGGAGGGGGGTATATAAAAATTCAGCCAAGTTCAATGCACTTCCACTGTTCACTATTCACTGACCCCTACTGGAAGGTTACAAAGAGAATCATTTGTTTATGTACTCAGCTGTCCCTTGTTACTGAGTTTCTTGCTTTCGAACCACAGCGGGAAAGCAGATG